TTTTTTTTTGTGTCTTTTACCACTTTTTCTCAGCTCTCACCGAACCGATTTCTTTCAATGATACGTCAAAAGATCACAAATCGTATCTAGTCGACGAAATTACCCTTAAAAATTGAAAAAAATTCTCTCGTTCCCCGTAAATGGGGGAAACCTCCAAAAAAATTACAAATTTAAAAATCGCTAATTTTCGAAATTTTTTCAATTTTTTTTACTTAAAACTGCCATAACTTTTTCAAAAATGAACAAATTTTTATAGATGCGTAGCATCATTAGTTTTCATTTGGTATATTTTTTTTTTATATATGACCCATTACTTGCCCACAGGGGGGGATTTAAAATGACAACTTTTTCACAAAAAATTAATTTTTTTAACTTAAATTTTCAAAATGTTCCGGATAGTCTTTTATATATATCTTAAATTAAAGCTAATGTAATATACTATATCATGAAAAAAAAAAAAATTCGGACTTTATCTTATCTTCACGGTGAAAATGGCTACCGAATGCTATTTTCGTGTGAAAATTTTCGATTTTGTATTTTGCATTTTTAACTTTATTATGCTATAACTTTTTGAAAAATGTATGGATCAATACAATTTTTTCATGAGAAGTAGAATATATAAACATCTTTCATTCGACATACTTTTTTTTAAAATCGGACCATTTCCCTAGATACGAGGGGGGTTTAAATCTAAAAAATGTATATAGAACAGTGGCGTATTTTGAATGATTTCTCGGGGGGTGTCCAACATTTAATGAACCTTACAAACGAAAATTGTAAAAATGTTTATTGACGTAAAAAAAAACTTACTATTTTTCAAATTACTATATTGGGAATTGACAAGTAATTTGAAATTTGAAACTTTGGTATTTGTCATAAAAAAGAAAATAAAGGATATTAATTATAATAATAAAAAGAATGAAGAGATGAAGGAAATAAAATAATTGGCTATATGTGTGATATTTATATTTTTTATAATTAAGAAAGAGGAATAATTATAGAATATAGATGTTATATTACTTAATACTGATAAGTGATAACCAACATTTTTTTTTTTAATCACTTTTTAAATTGTTGTGAAGATACAACGATATTAAGATCTATTTTAATATTTCATGATCTTTATTTCTTATATTTTATATTTTAAAGATTATAGTTAAATTAACAATTTTTGAACTTTAAAACTAAATTTATAATATAAGATCTAGGTGTCTCTTCTTTTTACTTAGATTATCAATTACTTCACTTGTATCAATGCCAACTTCTATGTTAATGGCTAGCATAGCCAAACCATTTAACCACCTCTGTATTAAAAAAAAAAAAACTAAAAAAATCATAATTATAAAATAATAAATTAACCAATATTAATTTATNTAAAATAATAAATTAACCAATATTAATTTATTTGTGACATTGTGTTTCGCAAGTATGTCTTTATTCTTTTCAAATTAGAAAACGACCTCTCATTAGATGCAGTTGATACTGGTAAAGTTACCAAGAGTAAGAGTTTAAATACATTTGGATAAATTTGGCTATTGCATAAAACTATTGCTTCCATGGCATTTCTTGGTGTATTTGATGATTTAATACTTCTAAACGTCTTTTCCATAATTTGAACTCTGCCAGTAACACAGATTCTTCGCATTCATTTAAGTCAAACATGTACATTTGCGCCAAACGTAAGAAGTGAGCTTCATTTTCGTCTGTTGAAATTAATGATTTGAAGTCCAATAACAACATTTTTTGATTAACAAACCTTAAATTTAGTTGATCTATAAATGTATCTAAGTAAGGAATAAAAAAAGCAACTCGAAAATATGACTCTGGTGAATTTGTCTCAATATTTACTCTTTTCGTTTGTCTTCCTATAATATGTGGTATGGAAATATTTGTATCTAGTTTATTTGATAAAGTCAATGCATTTTCAAAAATTTTATGAAATTCAGAGTCAACATTCGATCTTAAAGTTTGAAGTTCTTTTATTGTATCTTCCGCAAGATCCATAGCTTCACCTAGATCAATATTTATTCTTTGAAGTTGTTTTGAAAGAGGTAACCCAAAACTAAATACTTTATTCACAATAAGTAAACAAATAATAAAATCTCCTTTCAGTATTGATGTTCGTAGATTGCTTGCTTGTGATGATGTTTCAGTAACACTCTACTTCGAAATTATAAATAACGATTCAATTACGTACTCAAAAAGCTCAAGAAAATCATTGACAGCATGAAAACGTTCACCCATCTAGTCGCACATAATCGTTTTAATGTTTTTTTTTTTGTAATACATTCTTGGCTTTCTTCGATTTGACTTTTCAACACATCTTTTCGCTTCGGGTATATAAAGAAATCTCTAACTTTAGATATTATTCCTAAAAAAATTCGTATTTCTTGTATAGAACATGAATAAGAAATAGCAAGGTTTAAAACATGAGCATCACAATGAACATACGTCACAAGCGGGTGACTTTGGCGAATAATAGCTTGAGCTCCGTTAAATTGACCAGACATAGAAGCACATCCATCGTAACCCTGTCCTCTAAGGTATTTTGTATCTACACCAAATGAATGTAAACTTTGTATAATAATATCGGCTAAACCTTTTCCAGTAGTATCTGTCGTAGGCACAAACTGAAGAAATTCTTCCTTGATAATCATATTTTTAACATCTAAATATCGTGCACACAAAGATACTTGTTCGATTCCACCAATGTCAGCTGTTTCATCAGCAAGTATTGTGAAACATCTTTGGGCATTTATGTGTTGTTACGATTTTATTTAAAATAATTTTATTGCAGGATTCAATTATTTCATTTTGAAGTGTTGCACTTGTATATTTTATTGTTCCTTCAGCTTCCAAAAATGATTTTAAATGTTTATCTCCTTGGGCTCTATATCTTAATATTTCTCTAAAATTTCCCTGATTTTCTTAGATAAGCCTGTCATTTTCTTGTTCAAAAATAATTTTCCCAGAATCTCAATGTCCTCTGAGAGGAATATTTTGTTTATCACATAAAATTACGGTTTGAATTATTGGAGTTATATTTTTTCGATTTTTTCTAATTAGTTCAGCTCTTCCAGTTTCTATTTTACACGTTATAGATTTCTCAGGGTGTTTTACAACATCCATAAAATTATCTGAACTTAACACACACGTTTTATGGTAACCCTTGTTAGAATGTTCTTTGAAAACAACAATAGCATTTCTCCAATTATCATATTTTTTTTTACTAATGCACCTAAGATTTGTCCGTTATTTTCATTCAATTTGGAAAAAGCTACACAGATTTGACAAAATGCACCATTTTCTTTTATCGAGTATACCAACCAAGGGAATCTTAATAGCCATGAATACTGGAACTTTAAGTATTTTGGTTTATTTTGAACTGTATATAGTTTTTGTGGGAATTTGAATGATATATTTGCCATCCAAATTTTCGTCATAACAATTAAGATATCTTCGTTCGATAACTTACGGTTAATATAAAATTCAATATCATAATTATTACTACAGTTTATGTCCTCAGTAAAAGAAATATTATTTGAGTCTTTTGTATCTAAACTTAAAGTGCGACAAATTTTAGCAGAGTCAATCGAGTTAACTGCCGAAGATGCTCGTTTATTCGTAAGAGTATCGTTGTTATGAGTTCAATTAAATTCTGAGGTAGTAGGTGTTAACTTAAAAAATGAAGTAATTGATCCTTTCTTTTTTTGTGCCATTTTTGGTAATTTTACAACACTTTTTTCCATAATTGTCGCAAACTATAATAGTTAAACAAAATTCAAAAACGTTTAATTTTTTATTTTTTCGAAAAATTCTTAAAGAACCATTTTGTAGAGTTACATACAAGTATAAGTAACTTAGAGAAAAAAAACTTAAATTGTTGAATACTAAATGAATAAAAGCAATTTGCCCTGGCCCCCTCAGCTACACCAGTCATAATATTACATAATATGATTGAAACACTCGGGCGGCAGTGCGGTATTTTTACTCTAACTGCCATCGTCGTAATAACTGCCGGATATCTGTAAAACTCGCCCAAAGAACTATTTATAGATAACGTAGATTGCAATATTGACAAAACACGAATTTTTCTATTCAGTGACAAAATATTATATTTTAATATAATTACTTACTCTTATTCTAATAGTTTATTAATCATATTAGTAGTTGATATGTATTTTTTAAGGGGAGGCTCAGTTTCAAAGACTATATTGCTAGTATAATGTATAAATGGACAGCACGGGTAAAAGGAAACAAGTAAAAATTACTAGTTTCGTTAAATATTATTTATGAATTAATATTTTTTTGGAATAGCTAACTGAAGCATAATACTGGTCAAAATTATAAAATAAACTTTTACAAACTCAGTCATAAATGACTTGTTAAACTTTACTTTTTTTTGTAACGCGTAATAACTTAGTTAAGATATAATAAAAATAAAAATATTATTTTTAAATATTTAAACAAAATTAAAATTGTATAATAGTTTATTACATATTTATTCGTAATTTCTAATAAAATTCCTATGATTGGTTCATATTTTAATTATTTATTTTATTTGAATAAATAGGTAGGTACTTAGTACTTACTTTATGGCACGTTATAGCTGTATGCTCGACGGTCGACGAAAAAATGAATATCAAATAATAGTATTATTCAAATGTATAATTCTCTAAACTGATAAACTATATAAAATAGATTTCAAAATAAGCTACAAGTTCAGAATATTTCCGTTGTTATTATATTTTTCCTGCGGGTATTTTTGTCATATTTCCCAGTCATATGACCCAGTGAAATTCAAATAATTTCTAGATATCCCTGATAAAATGTAGATAAATCTCGTAACGTGTCGTCGAATCATATCAAATTAACTTCATTTTTGTCATTTATTTTATAGTATATTATAAAAAAAAGGTAATGCCAATATATTATGCATCTTTTTTTTTTAAGTTGGGGGGTGTCCAGACATGGAGGACACCCCCCCAAAATACGCCACTTATATAGAAAGTAGAACTTTTTCAACTAAATTTTGAAAGTGTTCCGGAAAGTCTGACACTTTAATATATATCTTAAATTAAATCTAATGTAATATACTTTATTATGAAAAAAAAAATTTCGGACTTTATTTTGTCTTCATGGTGAAAATGTCTACCGAATGCTATTATTGTGTGAAAATTCTCGATTTTATTTTTTACATTTTTAACTTTATAATGCTATAACTTATTGACAAGTGTATGGATCAATACAATTTTTTTAATGAGAAATAATATTTATAGTCCTCTTTCATTTGACATACTTTATTTTAATCAGGATATTAATAAGGAACTAGCAGATCGTGAGGCTTTTGTAATAATCCACCAATTTTTTAAAATTAAACACTATCTGAAGATTTGCATCGAAGCGTTTTTTTTTATAGTGATTTTAATCACTGTCAGATATCATTATACTTAATCCAACTATGCCATGTCTCCACTGTGCAGCGACCCCCCTGTGCTGGTTTTTTTTTTATTAAAACTTTCACTTTAAATGACAAAAAAAAGTAGGTTTAAAAATGATTACTTTTAACATATTAAAAATCAAAATCAATAATAATTTGAAAACAATTAATTTAAAAAATTATATAATATATGATTAAAAGAATTACTAATCTGGATATAATTAAGGAAATAGAAGTTGATGTTGCTTTTGTAATTATACATCAATTTTTTAGAATTAAACACTATCAACAGGTAAGCATCGAAGCGTTTCTTATGATAGTGAATTTTAAACACCGTCAGATTAAATCTATATTGGACCTAACTATGAAACGTCCCCACTATGCCGCGACCCCACTATATATATATATTAATCAAAATAGCACAATCTTTAGGGTTTTAATGTATTAAAAATGATTTCATTCAACTTTAACAAAATGAAACTCATTAGAGATAAATATCAAATCATAGAAAGATATGCAAAAGTTATATTGTCATTTTATATTTCAATTTACAATACAAGAATTTTATAAAAATACAAATAATTAACTCAAGTGAAGTAGTCACTTGATCACTAAATAATAGTCGTTCAAAATAATAATAATACTAAAAATTAAATTTATCTAACAACTAATTACAATTAAAGTTTTCGGAGATCCAATACAAACACCTGAAACATTTAAAATAATAAAAATTCATTATTTTTTTATTTATGCATATCTACTAAATTTTAATTATAAATTAATAAAATTAAGCCAAAAATTAATTAGCTATCTGATTATTTTCTAATAACACTAAAATATAAATTAATATTAAAAATATATACTTACACTACCATCTGATGCACTAGCACCAACTTTATCACCTCTAGAATTCCAACAAACCTCAAATATACCACCAGTTCCTCTATAACTATGAACTAATTGACCACTCTAAAATTATAGAAAATAATCATTTCAGTCTTTGAAGAACAGGCATATAAAAAAACAAAAATTAAATGTACCTGTGTTGACCATATGTGAACACATTTATCAAAACTTCCAGATGCTAAAAATTTGCCATCTGGAGAAAATGCTACACTGTATACTGGTTCAGTATGCTTTGTCAATGTATGTAAACATGCTCCTCGTTCAACATCCCACAATCGTACAGTTGAATCAAATGATGCACTGTAACATTTTATTAACATAAAACGGGGATTAATAACATTATTTCTTTTTAAATATAATTTCACTCAGTATAACCAATAGTTTTGATTATTTTGGTATTAAGTTTAGATACTTAAATAGATTTAAAACAAAACATAATAAATAAATATTAATCACTACTTTTTAATTAAATTTAATACCTTGCAAGAATAAGATTCATATTTGGATTGGCAGTTCCAGGACCGGTAGGACTCCATTTAATTGTATATATTTCTTTATTATGAGCTTGCAAATCATGAACACAAGTATCCTGCTTCATTGACCAAATTTTTAAAGTCATATCATCAGAACATGAAGCTAGTAAATTTCCTTGTGGATCCCACTTAATAGCATTTACTTCATTCTAAAAATATAAAATTAAATTAATAAAGAAAAAAATACATTTATATATACAGAACATACAGTATGTCCTTCAAAAGATTTGACTGGTCGATCAAAACCAAGGCGGCATACATGTATACACTGATCTGTACTACATGAAGCAAAACTATTATTTGATTGCCAATCTACATCAAGAGCTGGAGCAGTATGAAATGCAAATTGTTGATTACACTGACCTGAAGCAGCGTCCCAAATAATTGTTGTCTAATAAAAATAAGATAAAAAAAGATTTAATGCAAACAAGTCATTAATAAATTTCTTCATTCAATAGAAATCAATAAAAATTATATATATATATACTTATATACTTTACTTGTACTTATATATTTCTTTTTGATGATAAGTATTATATTATGTCTAATCAAGAAAATTATGAAAATTTTAAAAGTGATTAACATAAATAATAAATATGAACTTATGTTGAAACATCAAATTTACAAAATTATTTGCAATTTAAATAAATTTTAATTTTAATTAAAAAAAAAAAAAATTTTACCTTATCTACTCCAGCACTAAGAATATAATTTCCTCTTTTATTCCACTTTAATGCAAATATCGGACCTTTATGTTGACCTAGTGTGCTGGATAATCTACCATTATTTGTCCAAATTCTAGCAAAACCATCATATGAACCAGTTGCTAATAATGTACCATCACACTAAAATTAAAAGATCATTTTAGTATTATGCTTTTAAAAATCAATATTTTGTTAGAAACAGTTTTCTAATTAAAACTGTTTTCTGGATAAAAAAATTATATAATAAAAAGTTTATACTTGAACACAAATTCAGATTATAGTGATTATAATATATTTGTAATTACAAGGTATAAATGTAAAAAATTTGTATTAATAAACTTATCTTACATTCCAATCAAGAGATGTAACATCTTTATTACTAGGTACTTCAGTACCTCCTTTTTGAATGCAATGTCTCAATATACTTAATGATCCTGAGTTATCAGTCATATCCCATATACGTGCTGTACTATCACCCGATCTAAAATTAAAAAATTATTTAATAGAAACAAACAAATAACTAAAATTATAATAAGGATAAGAATTAATATAAATATTTTGATGTATTTTATACTAATTTATATCATTTAAATTATTAATTCAAAAGTATTGATTGTCCCACACAATTATGGTCTAACATTCATACATTATATATTAACTAAAACATCTTTAAGCTAATATTTTTAAACATATTGTTTGAAAATATACATTACCCAGATGCAAGAAGATCTGTAGTAGGGTTCCATGCACAAATAAAAACCTCAGATTCATGACCTGTCAGCACAGTTGATTTTTCATCTGGAATTTCAATGCTACTATCCATCTCCATAGGTTCAGTACTAGTCACTGCGGGAGTTACTGTTGTAGCACCTTCTTCTCCATTTGTTTCTTGAGTTTCATTTTTGGCAACTGCTTGTTTTTGTTGGTTTCGACTTTGTCGACTAGCAACAACTTCTGGCATTACAGCATCAATTAATGACAAACTTTCAGTTAATCGCTGTTCTGAACCATCTTCTCCAACACAAATCTCAGCTTCAGTATAATGAAGACCTTTCTGTATAATACTAATTAAAGCTGCTGGTGGAACTAAAGCTCCATTTATGTTAGATTGAGATATATGAGACTCAATACCAAAAGTATATGCTGAATGTTGAAACCCTTTACAAAAAAATAAAATAATTTTCCATAAAAATGACATTTTATGAAATGTTATAAATTAGATTATTAATTACCGGATTCTTGTAAATATCTATAGACGAGAAAATTTAGTTCATCACTTGAAAAAGCCATAACTATATTAATACAAAAAATTTATATCAATTAAAAATGTTTTACATAATATTACATAAAAAACAATTGTTTTTTATTAAATACAAAAGTCAAAATAATTAAAAATATATAATATATGAAAACTAGTACTGTCGATCAATCGTGGTGTTTTCTGTAGAATGTACCGCTTTAAAGATAAACAAAACGCTTACAAAGTCTTTGGAAAAATTCTAATTATCAAAGTAGCAATATTCTTTGGAAATTAAAGGTTAGTACCACGGGTGTAAAAAAAATGGTAATGATTTACAATGAGTAATCTTACAATATAGACCATAGTAAATAACAACAGGTATAATGTCTAATACTCTTTACTCTAATTACCCAACCCAACCATACACTATGGTCTTACGAAATATTTAAAAAAATATATAACTATTACAATTTTATTTAAATCATAGATGATGAACTATTACACAAGAAAAATCAAAATGTTACCACCATTAGATTTGATTTTTAGCTTCGATACGAAGCTGAGAAGTTATTAATTTTACTATGATATATTTATTTATTTTTGTGTGTCTATTACTTGTCAAGACTTTTTCTCAACTCTCACCGAACCGATTTCTTTCAACAATACGTCAAAAGACGATTTATGATTTTTAGGTTCAGTAAAAATGGTATCTAGTCGAAGGTATCCTCAAAAAACGAAAAAAATTCTCTTTCCCAGTAAATAGAGGAAATCCCCCAAAAAATTACAATTGTAAAAATTAGTAATTTTAGAAATTTTAAAAACTTTTTTTACTTAAAAATGCCATCATTTTTTTAAAAATGGATAAAAATAACAACATTTTTTTATACATATCTTAGTTATTGTATAACCTATCATTTGGTATATTTTTTTTAAATCTGACCCTTTACCTACCTACAGAAGGAAATTCAAAATGGCAACTTTTTCACAAAAAATTACGGCAATACTGACACTTTTATATTAAAAAAAAAATTGTCCCCACAACTTATCTTCTATGTGCAAATGGTTATATTGCTATAACTTTTTGAAAAATGTATGAATTAATACAATTTTTTTTATAAATGTTTTATATAAAGCTTTGAACTTGTCTTCGTGGTGAAAACTGACATTAAAGTTAAATTAAATTAGTTTAAAGAAAAAAGTACGTTTTTTGTGTAAAAATTTTAAAATTTAAAAAAATTTAATAATTGTTAAAAGTGTTTTTAAGATAGTTATTTTAGTAAACTGCATTGGTGTATTAAGAAAGAGGTGGTTAAGGGACAAAGTTCCCTATTTTTTTCTTTCGAAAATATTTTATTTGACTTCAAACCTGTATAACTTTTAAAAAATATTTTTAAAAAGGAATTAATTTGAAAGGGAAATAGAAAAATCTATTTAAAAAAAAAAAATTTTTTTTTTTCAATTTCAATTTCAACTTTACACTGTTATTAATTTCTAAAAAAATTACAACTATGGTTTTTACTTGTATTATACAAGTAAAAACCATAATGATTAGGTCATCCATTTACATAAGAATTATATGAATTTAACTTACATTAAATATAAAGTTAAGCCTATTTATAATTTATCTCTTTATTAAGTCAAGAAAAACGACTTTGAATTATTGAACTAAATTTAATTTNTCAAACCTGTATAACTTTTAAAAAATATTTTTAAAAAGGAATTAATTTGAAAGGGAAATAGAAAAAGTTTAAATTGCCTTTTTTATCTACTAAAAAGTGTGATGTATGACTGACGGACCTAAAAAATAGATTTGTTTCATATAAAACTAATGCGTGTTAAGAGTACATATGGATGAAGTGAAACTTTTTTTGTTATGAAGATCGTTTTTTCATAAGAAAAAAAAAATTTTTATTCTCTAATAAGTATGTTTATTACATTCACTTAACTATAAATATTTACAAACTATTTATGCTTTTTATTTTGAAGATAGGTGATTAAAATATGTTAAGTAGGGAAAAAGATTAATGTAAAGTGATTATATGTTCAATAAATATAAATATCTCAACAAAAAATAAAAAGCTGGTAAATTTGCAGATAGTTAATAACAATTTATATTCTAATCTATTTAAAATTAAAATCACAATAAATATTTAGCAAATAAAATTAAAATTCAACAATAACAAGAGTTTTAGGTATTTATTTAATTTTATAGATTCGATCATTAATTACTTTTTATTACAAGCCTTAAATTTTCATATGCAACATTAACTATTCCCCAACTAACAAATGATCGTGTGCAATTCATATGAACACCCCTATAAAAATATGAAATTCTATGTCCACGTTCTTTATAAATTTCTATTGCAGCTCGTTTAACACTTTTAAATGGACCTCCTAAGCTGCTTTGCATATGAACTTTTAGTACATTACATGGGTAAAATAATGTGCTGTTTAATGCACCAATAGAAGCTCCAATAAAAAACTCCTTAAATATTTTGAAACCAAACCAAGTATTTGGAGGTATTATTACATATGTGCTAGCAGTTTCACGAAATATAAAAAATGATACATTTGAAGGACCATTCCGCAATAGAACTGGTATGAATCCACGATAAAATTCAGTTGCAGAATATTCAGTAGCAATCACTTTGATAACATGTCTCATATTAATAAATTGTTTGTTATAATGATTATCTTGTAGAAGTGTTTGTACACGTTCAAATGGTGTTAAAGTAGCTTCAGCTGTACCAGCCATCATTGCTGCAATTGCTTTTGATAAATTTGGATTCATATTAGAATTTGCTAAAGGTCTTTGAATTGCATCATAAGTACCAAACATTAAAGATGTTGAGATGGCTTTTTGCAACAACGGTGGTCCAATACCTCGATAAAGTGTAGAAAACCCTTCACTAAACAATTGATTAGTTGCATGCTTTAAAGCTACACCATGAAGCATCTGGAAAAATAAAAACAATTATTTAATAGATTCTAATTTATATAAAAATAAAAAAAACAATGAAGTTGGGTCCTAGCATAGTAGAGACCAGGATTTATAGAAACCAGTAAAATTTCATATTTTACAATGATTAACATTACTATTATAAAATACTTCAACACAAATGTGTTTAAAGAAGTTTGGTGACATTTTTTTTGGAGAGAGAATGCTTTTTACAAAACATAATCTGAGCTCCTTTTATACACCCAATTATATAATCAGCACTAATCCATAGAAAAATTATGTTAAATATATCTAAAACATTGATATTGGCAAATTTACTCAAAAAAATTGAAAAGAAAAAATGTATTTTTACTTTTATGGACAATTTCTTATACAAGGTTAATCTTTAGAACATTATTCTTTTTTTAATCATAAAGTTTATTAAAAACTATAATATAAATATAAGTTAAAATTGTCAAACTTCCACGAACATTTTCAAAAATATTTTTAGTATATATTTTTATTTAAATATCAAGAAAGACGACTTTTTCAGAATACATGCCTAATTTTAATATTATTCATAATATTAATTTTAACATTATTCAATTTTTATATAATGTATAAGGACTATAAAAAAATGTATGTACATTAATTAATGAAAACCTACTAAATTTTAATGCATGGTTAATTACAATTGATATGATTTTTTTCTGTAGTTTTTCTAAAGTAGTTTATGAACAACAAAATATGTATATACAAAAAAATCCTTGTGATAAAAAATGGAATGTTTATAAACAAAAATTTTGAGGTCATATTATTGTTTATAAAATAACAAATATGCATGCATATTTGCAGATGAGTGAAATGAAATAGCTGAATAAATAACACATTTTTTGAACTTTAATGAGATTACAATTTTAGCTACATCAAAAACAAAGAACAGCCACCAATAAAAATGGTAAGATGATTTATACTATATATATTAGGGTGTTCCTTAATTAAAGAGATATAATTTTATTTTCAAAATATTTCAATTGAGACCTACCAAATTTGTTTTAGTATGTCTAAAAAAAAGATGTAAAAATTTGATTGCGATTGATCAATTCTAACACTTGCCACAAAAGCGTTGAGTATTAGAAGTATGGGGTAGTTAATCAGTTTTTTTAAGTTATCTCGAAAACTATTATGCTAACAATACAAAAAGAATAAAACTAAATTAATATAATTATGTTTTCTATAAAAAGAGTTATAATAAAATTTTACTTATATTTATTATTTTACATTCAAATAAATGAAATTTAAAGTGGTTTTGGCTATACCCATAATTATTTATTTTTTAAACATATACATTACACCTAAAGATCCAATACAAATTTTGCTCAAAATTATATTTTCGAAAAAAATCTATTTTATTATAATATTATACGAATATATATATTTTTTAAATATATAATAATTTCCTTGTTCTATTATATTTATATAATAATAATTATTGTAATATTGTTATGAAAAAAAGGGTATTTACGATAATCAAAATAAATTATTGGTATACAATGTTGTAGAAGTATATGATTTTTTGATAGTATCCTAGCAAATCCAGTTAATTGTTTTCTGTTATTTTGAACAATCTGGAAAATTTTCAAGTAATAAATAATCACTTATTTCTTGTTTAATTAATTAAACACTGAAATATAGATATAGAAAATTACGATTTATTTACTTCCAAACAAATTACTTTTGTTCTTCATTTTTTGTAAATTTTTCAGTGTATTCCTTCATAAGTTTAATCCCTTTTTCTGCAGTATTGTTGACTGCTTTTGTGGATTTCACCACTTTTTTGCCTTTAATCTGCCCTTAATAAATGTTCCAGTTTTCCAGCTGAATTTTTAAAAATTATTAGAAATATTAAACCTTTTAAATATATTTGTTGAACTAGCCCCTAATATATCTAATGGTAAATATTTGTGGAGAAATTGTTGTAAATCTTTAAACTTGAGGATTAACTTTTTTTGTGAATCTTTTTCAAGTATCTCATGCATAATTTTTTCAGCTCTTTTTTGACATATCATTACTTAATCTTTTATTAAATATTAAAAAAGCAATACGCCTTCCACTCAAATACTACAAATAATTAATGAATTTTACTACTGATTTTTCAGCTATCATCATTTTTGTAAAAATACATATTTTATAAAAATGAAATGTCATTTATATTAGATGTGGCAGCATTTGAACAAGATTACCATGATTCTACAGAGCATTAATTAATAAAACAGCATATTCGTTTTAAACAATTATTTTTGTGTTCTGTAATTTTGAATTGGTTTCGAAATAAAAATATATATTTAAGTAGTACAATGATTTTGTCATCCATTGTGTTAGGTTATAAGCATCATTAGTGTTGGCACACCTCCTAGAAATATTTTATATAATTTAAGAAATTTTTTATGGTCATCTCTAGGCAATACTTTTTTAAGTTTGACTCTATAAAGTTTTATCATTTCATCAATAACATCCTTTAAAATATCTTTGACATTTTCTTCAGTGGTCCAAATAGAATAAGAATTCGTATCACTGTTTTGCCATTATTTTTTTTATTAAATTTTTGAACAAGGGAATTTCAGGCACCATACTTGTTCCAGTTTTTGTTCTAAGAGATGACATATATAAAATCTACATTTTTAAAAATAAAAATATTTCTCTCTCTAACATTTCATATATAGCTGAAGCTATTTCAGACTCTATTCCTGAATTTAGCTGTGGTACACTAATACATAGAATTATAAACAGTAATATCTACTCATTGTTTTGTTTACAACACAATAAGATTATTTTGAACTTTTATTTCTCATTAGATAAATCTTCTATATAAATTTTACTGGTGTATTTTTAGTTTAAGCGAATGATTAACGTTCGGTGGTGAATGCCTAACATGTAAACAAATATATTAACTAAATGGTCAGCCTAACAATAATTTGACAATATAACATTTTTTTAAAAAATATGTGTTAGGGTTGATCAATCACAATCAAATTTTGTATATATTATTTTTAGACATACTGGAACTAATTTGTTTATTTTGCGTATCAAGTTTTGAGTATATTATATATATATGATTTTTAAATTTCTTATTTTTTAATAGTTACAATAATATATTTCTAGAACTAAATAAAAATTTTTATTTATTTTAATATTTAAATAATATAAAACAAATATGTTTAGAGATTTGTTACAAAAATAAAAAATAATCACACCTAACATTTATCATTTACTGAAAAAAATAATATACAAAATGATAAGAGAGTAAATTCTAATCTAATATTTAATGAAAGTGAAAATATTACTGATAAAATTTTATGTTTAATTAATAGTTTGAATAAAATATCTTTAATTACCTGTCTAAATATAACTTTGTTGATTGGAAACGTGATACTAATATTTACTATAGCAGCACCACAACCACAAACAAATTCAGAGTATTCATCACGATTTAGATATTGAAACACAGTCATTGTTTTTTGGGTCAATGTCAGCTTATTTGATTTTCATATATCATTCTAAAATATTTCTAATAGTAATTACTAATATACAATTAATATGTTACGTTAGTTCAATTTACCTTTTTTATATTTGTTAAGATATCATATTGCCTTAAAGCTATGTTTTATATGGTAAAATTATTATACAAAATTCAATCATAAAATTTTTTTTTAAAACATTGATATTTTATAATTTGATTTAAATTTTTGTGACTTCAACTCCATAGCTCAGTTCCCGTTTGCTTATCAATATGATTTATTGATATTGGGATAGAGTAAAATATTATCATAACAAAATTTCTCAATAGAACTATCTAACCCATGACCGTTTTCAAGGTAGAAGCAATAGTGGTCCAATTCTGTTATCACAGATCATGATAATTAAACACATCGACGTAAACAAATCTGATACCTCAGTCAATGCCGTGGCTTGTAATCCATGAAAATTTGTACTGTTAGGTTGTTTTCGTGGCAAGTGTATCATAATAATTTTGTAGTTGACAAGTGTTTGTTTCTCTAAACGTCGCTAATTCAAGTTAGTTTTCTATAAATTCTCAATATTTAAAAATCAAAAAGTGAGTTTATTTTAATTAACATCAAACATGGTTCATGTTTTGCAAAAGTAAAAACTGTTTAATAAACAAAAACACATAAATGCAGTTAAACTCCCATACGACTTTTTTAATTTTTTTTTTTACACCGATTACAAATATTCAAAAATAAAATTTCGGTCAAAATAGTTGAAAAGTTGTAGCACTTTTGAGTTTGCGTATAACACTGTTACCAATTTGCGCGAACGTTACTATTTTGATAATTTACACGAAATTCTAATAAAAACATGCTGTTTCGTGTGACATTTTGGACTTGTTGGGTTACTGTATCTTTCATCCCATCGAATTAACATAACTTGAAAATAGGCTCTAGTATGTCAATCAAGTTGATAGGTGTGGGTAACCCCAAAATTTGTTTTAATAATATTTGTTTGCAAAATGTACTTTATTTTGAAAATACCAAAAAATTGAATTTAAATGTTTAAGAATGGAGCAAAAGAGGCTTCCAAAATTACAATCCTAGCTATAGGTACTCTGAATTTGAGCACTTTCTTTTTAAAAATCATTTATAAAAGCTATACATTAGGAAGAATACTAATGTAGTATACGTGATAATTTTTTTAACCATTTTATTTTATTATTGCACATTTGTAATCAGTGTCAAAAAACATATTGATATAAAAAAATTATGAGAGGTAAACTGTATTTGTTCAAACAAGATGTATTTATTGTGGTTTAACATTTTAAATAGATTTTATTTTACAAGTGTTCAATTCTTATTATATAAAAAAAAGTATTAATTTATATTTGTTAATATGTATTTATAGACAAGAATGAGGAATTCTCGCAGTAACAAACCAAAGGAAACTAATAAACAAAAGAAAGAACGTAAGAAGGAATTTTTGGAAAATAAGAAAAATGTTGTAACAGTTGTTTTACCTACTTTGGCTGTTATTTTTGCTCTTATCACTTTATTTATTTACTTGAAAGTTCATCCTAATGCATTAAATTTCATGGCATCTGAGAAATCACTTTAAAATATTTTAATTAAACTTATCATGTGATTAATTACATTTAACGTCACATTCTTATTCCTATTTTTTTTTTTGTGTGATGTATTTCCTCATCAATTTTATGTCTTTACAATTTATTATTATTACTTGATTTTCTTAATGCACACATCTTAAATTCTAAGATAATGTGTTTCATAATAACTAAATTAATAATTATATCTTGTTTATCAATCAATTATTATTTTTATCTTGCATATTTTTTATATATAAAATAATTAAACAAATAGATTTTTTTCAGAACCATAGTATATATTTTTAATAAGGTTATGTATCTTAATGAAATTTTATTGTTGAAAATCTTTATGTTTAAAACTTATATTTTGTTCAAAACTTTATTTTTAAAATAAATATATACCTACATTATTTTTTAAATCTATATACATATATATAGTATATTTTTCATTTTTGTTTAATTGTTATAAATCAAAAATGACATGCCCTGTTTGTTAGTGTTTTTATGGTTTACTACCAAAATCTAAGATTCTCATAGAGTTTTAATGAAATTATTTAACTATTTATGATCTACTTACAATATTGAAATAATGGAACATTTAATGTCATTTATTTGACTTATATGTTTTGCACTCTTGGTAAAACATTTATGAAAAGATATTTATGCCGAGTTTATTTAAAGGCGCATAATTGCATGAACATAGTTTATAAAAAATTTAATTTTATCATTTTTTACTCATGTTTAGTTGTAGTATTCAAGGGTCACTATGTTTTTAATTCGTATTAGATGAAAGAATTGTTAAATCAAGGTACATGGACAAAATTGTTACATGGTACCCCAATACTGACTTCCTTTGAAACTGCTACAATATCAGATGTATGACAAATTCTACTATATATAATATATGATTGGTACCATTTATGAAATTTATGCTTCCTTGATATAATTTTTTTTATACATCCCCTACCTTTAAACAATTAATAAACATAAATTTTAGATAATATATACTTATAAAATGGCTAAGGGGTCTCTAACTCAATGAACTATAAAAAAAAACTAAAATTCCATAATCCATTTTAGATGACTTTCTTTTAGACATCAAGTACAAGAGGTACCCATTTTAGTATTAATTAAGAATTTATGATAGGAACAAGGTTGATTTATCAAGTGTTAACAGTGGCTCAACCAGAAAATAATTTCGGGGGTTTATGTATGTAATATTTGAGAGGGTAAAAAAAAATGTTATCATAATTAAAAATACAAACATTGCTAAAGATTTCTGCTAGAGCGTTAAGGGTTTGAAATAGCTTTTGATTGTGCCACTAAGTATTAACTTTGCTGTGTTAATACTCAAAGATGAACAAGTTAATGGAAATAATTAACTCAAGTTAAGTAAAATATGATCAATGTCGATAAATTAACAGTTAAAAGTTAACAAATTATAAATTTAACTAGCTAAGTTAATTTTTTTTTTTTAACTTAACTAGTTTAAAAAAGTTTATTTCATTTAAAATTAATTTTTTTGCTAAAATCTCTCAAAATAATTTTTTATTGGTCGGTGATGTAAGGGTAAGCTAAGAATCGGAAACAAGAAGTTGAATCTTCTTTTTCCTCGCCTTAACCCAAACTACTTGGGGTTGGCCACCTTTATCCTAAACTTCCACTGGACACGATCTCCCACATCATCTACGCTCACATTAGCCGTCCTCATATTACATTCAATTACATCTCTCCATTTCTCTTTTGGTCTTCCTCTACTTATTCTTCCTTCAACATTTATCTCTATAATTGTTCTTACAGCTTCCGATTCCTCTCTCCTCATAACATGACCTGTTAGGTTATTGCATTGATGTTACTCCGTTTAGAGTTAATAAACAACTGATTATATTTCCGATAACACATACACTACACTTTCCCCTTTTTAACTTTTAACCCTTAAATAATGTACAAAATAAATAATAAATACAGTACATAATTATAACTATTAATTACAATATAAAATAAGATTTACAATAATACTAATATAACATTATACAAATTCATCGAATCCATATCTATTTGGTTTCTTAACCATTCTATTTGATTTTTTTACAATAACTTTATCTACATTTACAGATCTAGGTACTTTAATATCCTTAACATCTTTATAAGTTTTTACTCTTAATTGGTTAACATGTGCAGTTCTAATTCTATTATTTAATTTAATTTCATATAAATATTTACTTTTTTTTTTAATTATTGTTGCTTTTAACCATTTTAATGAACTTTTAAAATGATTTCTATATAACACTTTATCTTTTGGATTAAATACCTTTAATATACTTCCTTTTTCCTGGTTTCTACCCTTTTTTTGTTTAATTTTAATTATTACAGTATTTTTTACATTCTTAGTTTTTGTATTTAATTTATTTACAAAAGTCCCTACTTTATATGAAAATATTACATCAAATGGTGATTGCTTTGTTACTGTTGACGGTGTACTATTGTAAGAATTTATAAATCTTAAATTTTTTCTTTCATAGATAGTCTGTTGTACTTATAATCCAATAAATATTTATTTAAGTATTTCTTCACTGTTTGAACTCCCCTTTCAGCTTGTCCATTAGACTGACTATGGTATGGTGGTGACTTAATTATTTTTATATTACACTCCTTACCATAATTATTGAAAACATGAGAATTAAAAGGCGGGCCATTATCAGATACAATTTCTCCTGGTAACCCAAAATATGTAAATATACTTTGTAACACTTCTATTACTTTCTCTACAGTTACTCTATTCATTAATTTAACATCTACAAATTTACTAAATGCATCAACCAATATTAAATAAGTATCTTTACCAAAATAGAAAAAATCTATATGGATCCTCTCAAATGGTTTACTTGTTTTTGGCCATCTAGATGTCACTACTTCTTTGGGTACATTTTGCGTTTGAGCACAAATTTCACACCTTTTTACAGTCTCTTCAATATCTTTAGCCATATTTCTCCACCATAGTATTCCTCTTGCCTCCATTTTCATTCGCACAATACCATTATGATCCTTATGTAGTAGTTGTAACACCCTTTCTTTTAAATGCTCTGGGATAACAACTCTATCGCCAAAAAACAAACAATCATCCTGCAACCCTAAATCATTTTTCATTTTAAAATAGTATTTGCATTCCTCTAGTTTCCCTTCCCAACCATTTTTTACATACTTGATTACTTTTAACAATGTTTTATCCTCTTTATATCCTTTTCTTATTTCTTCTATATTCAAATTAAAATCATTCATAATACTTAACCTGTTTATAGAAATTTCTTCAATCTCAGTTCCTGTTTTTAAAGGTAACCGTGACAACGCATCAACATGCACCATTTGTTTGGCTGGTTTATATTTAAAATCATAATCATACATCGATAAAAATACTGACCATCTTTGTAGTCTAGATGCAGCGACTACTGAATTACCCTTATTAGGACTAAATATTTCCTTTAACGCCTGTGAGTCTGAGCATAGTGTGAACTTATTTCCATAAATATATTTATGAAATTTTTTTACTGCGAACACTATCGCTAACGCTTCTCTATGAATCTGTGCATAATTTTGTTCTGCTGGTGATAGTGTGCTAGATGAAAAACATATAGGTTTTTCTTCTCTATCAAATAATTGCACTAAAATCGCACCTACACCATATGGGCTAGCATCCGCATAAACTATGATGGGTTTCTTTGAGTCATATATCCCCAACAATTGGTTATTTAGCAGTAATTCTTTACTTCTATTAAATGTCTCGCTACACTTTTCAGTCCACTCAAATTTCACTCCTTTTTTTAATAATTTATGTAGTTCATGTAATTCACTACTTAAATTTGGTACAAATTTACAATAATAGTTTAGTAATCCTAAATATGCTTTTAATTCATTTAAATTTGTAGGTTCTCTAGCTTCCTTAATTGCCTCTAACTTTTGTTTCATTGGTCTGATACCCATTTCATCTATTGTGTGCCCTAGATAATTAACACTGCTTTCAAAAAATTTACATTTCTTTAAATTTATCCTGATATTAAACTCATTTAATCTAGTTAAAACTTCATCTAATTTTTTTTTACACATATCTTTATCTATTGCACCAATTAAAATGTCATCTAAGTAACAAAATACATTCTCTACCTTAAATAACACCTGATCCATAACAGATTGGAAAATAGCAGGCGCACTGGATACACCAAATGGTAATCTTTTGTACCTAAATAATCCTTTTAATGTATTTATAGTTAAATACTCTCTACTATTCATAGACACATCTAGCTGCTGGTATGCTCCGGATAAGTCTACTACACAAAATATTTTACATCCTGATAAACTAGCAAACACGTCATCAGCTTTAGGTAAAGGATAATGTTCAGTCTTAATTGATTTATTTATAGTTACTTTACAATCTATACAAATACGTAAACTACCATCAGACTTTGGAACTACTACTATAGGACTCGCCCAATCACTATACTTCACAGGTTCTAGAATACCTTGTTCCACCAATCTATCTATTTCTTCACCCACTTTATCTCTAATACTAAAAGGTACTGAATAAGCTTTATGAAATATAGGAGTAACTCCTGGTTTTAACACAATTTCAGCTTTATATTTTTCTATACATTGACCACCTTCTTCACTCAGTACTCGTGGGAATTTACTTTTGATATATTTTAAAATACTATCATTATAATTTGTATTTAGTTCAGTATTACTTACTAATTTAATAACACCATTTCCTTTTAATTTATTTCGCCAGTCTGGACATAATTTATTTAGCCATGATCGACCCAACAATGGAGAAATACTTTTTGTACTCTTAATTACCAGCAAGTTTAATTTATATACATCATCAACAGTATCACACAAACACACATTTACAGATATTGTTACAATAATACCAATTAACTCTCCTGTAACAGACATGAATTTAGAATTTGTTATACATAGGTTTGATTTACTAAATAATTGTTGATAAGTATTTTCGCTTATCACAGAAGCACATGCCCCTGTATCGATTTCCATATCCAATTTAATACCATTTACCATAACCATAATCTTTAACGGACCGTCTGCTAATTTATTTATGCTGGTATCACTTGTTAACACAACCTGTCCTACCATTTGTTCTGATAACTCTTTTATAACATCTGATGATCTGTCTTGACCTTCATGCCGACGCCAATTTGAATTCGGATATATTTTTTTTTTTGTTGTTTTTAACTTTGTGTAACAAAAACGTGCAAAATGACCATACTTAGAACATTTATGACACTTAATCATTTTTGCTGGTCATTCAAAAGTTGACGCATGATTTTTTCCACATTTGCCACATGTGTTTTTATTATTATTATTATTACTATTTCCATAATTATTTAGTTTCCGTACCGCAAACTGATTTAATGGTTTTTCTTCAATTTCTTTTTCTGCCATCTCCCAGTACGTCGCTATTTGGCAAGCACTTGCAAAAGTTAGCTTACTTTCCTTTAATAGCAATGCCCTCAATTTGCTTTCTCTGACGCCAAACACAAAACGGTCTCTTAAAGCTTCCTCCAAAAATGCTCCAAAGTTACAATTTTGAGCCTTTGACTTAAGTTCCACTATGTATTCTACAATACATTGCCCTTCCTTCTGATCTTCTTTATGAAATTTATATCTCTCCGAGATTTCATTGATTTCAGGTGAATAATGTACTTTAAGCTTACTTATTAATTCTTTATAAATTAATTCTTTTGGACTCTTCGGGTACGTCAATTTCTTTAACACCGAATATGCATCATGTCCGATAAAAGTTAATAACGAAGCCACTTTTTTAGTTTTTTGTACATCATTAAGCACAAAAAATTGCTCTAACCGCTCTATATATTCACCAATATCGTCTCCCGGGACGAATTGCTCTATGCTTCCAAGCATACTTTACGTTTAATTAATTATTTATTTTATATTTTTTTTTTTTTTTTTTTTTACACTTTAACAGTAAAAAAAAAAATACCAAAAAGAAAAAAGAAAACACGCGGTTTGATCTCATCCTCGTCGCCATTTGTTAGGTTATTGCATTGATGTTACTCCGTTTAGAGTTAATAAACAACTGATTATATTTCCAATAACACATACACTACATGATTTATATTACATATTACATTCAATTACATCTCTCCATTTCTCTTTTGGTCTTCCTCTACCTATTCTTCCTTCAACATTTATCTCTATAATTGTTCTTACAGCTTCCGATTCCTCTCTCCTCATAACATGACCAAACCAACTAAGTCTATTTTTTCTCATGTTATCTACGACTGACGCTACATCTATACTCCCTCTTATATGTTTGTTCCTTATCCTATCTTCTCTAGTCACTCCACTCATCCATCTAAGCATTCTCATCTCTGCTACACTTATTCTGGGCTCTACTTTCTTGTCAACCGCCCAACACTTTGAATCATACATCATAGCTGGTCTCACTACAGTCTTATAGAATTTAACTTTCAGCCTCATTGGAATTCTTTTATCGCATAACATACCAGACGCTTCTCCCCACACTTCATCCTGTGTCTTATATCCTCGCTAATACCACCACTCTTTTGCATACTGATCCTAAATACTTAAAACTTTCCACTTCTCCTATCACGTCTTCGCCTATTGTCACTGATCTCCTCATTTCACCTACCTCGTATTCTCCTTTGTCAAACTCGTACTCTATATACTCTGTCTTACTCCTACTTATTCCGAAACCCTTTTCTTCAAGAGTTGGTATCCACACCTATAGTGTTGATGTTATCAATGACGTAGATGTAGGGGGTTTAAACCCCCCAGAACAAAAAAAAAAATGTATTCATAAATTAAGTAGAGGTATGATATAAAATTATTTTTTATCATTATTTTTTTATATTTTGTTAATGATATTATCAATTAATTTTAAATAAAAAAATTCATCTTTAAATATTAATTAGTCAAAAATTTATTNCCCCCCCCCCAGATAATAATCGTATCTACGCCACTGGACTTTATATATACTTTATTTTAAACTTACTCCCTTTGATTAATATATTTTGTTGTCGTAATTTTGAATTTTTTTATTTGGTAGCACTGGTATTATCAACAACCACTATTTTGATTTACTTTATTGATACTTGTTTTGACACTGGGAAGTTAAACGTCGGCTGTATTGTTAATGCGTGTCGTGATTAAGCTTACTATTTAAAACTTAAACTTACTTATTGAAGGACGTATGTAAATTAAATTTGTCAAATTATCGGCATAATGCGTGGCTTACATGCATGATATATTTTGTTCCATTAACAGCAGTATGGACAACTTTTTACTGGTAAGTTATCCAGAATCAAAAATATTATTATAATGAAATTTAAGACAAATCACAATATTAATCACAAATTATCAGTAATAATGTGGTTTTATTTGATTTGGAGTTATATATATTGGTATTTGAGGAAAGCAATTAAATGGTTCTTACGCAAAACTACTAAATTTTGTGAACTTCAACGCATATGTTACTTGCAACCTGTTGGTATGAGTAGAACTAGTAAAGTTGAAATTTGTTTACGCAATAGTAGTCGGCCTCAGATCCGTGGATTATTGACTGTTTTGGATGCTCGAGCTATGGATAAAAATTTTTATTCTGGTAGACTAATTCTAGTACCAAATGCAGTGTCTACAATAGCACGTGTGAAAAGAATTGACCAATGTGAATATGAAAGATTTTCTAGTTCTTTAGGACAATGCGTTGATAATATATGGTCATATATACAATTAATCGAAGAAATTAAAGCAACAGCAGCCATTAAATATGATTGTTGTAATGATGTTCATGAGAAATCATTATTCCTATTGTGGGATGAATTGAAACCAGATGACCAATTAGAAAATAGAGTAACCAAGCAATGGCAAGATATTGGTTTTCAAGGAGATGATCCTAAAACAGATTTTCGTGGAATGGGAATATTAGGTCTAGATAACTTAGTTTACTTTGCATCAAAATACACTTATTTAGCTAGAATAGCTTTATCCCACTCTATGCATCCAATTCATGGCTATGCATTTGCCATTGTGGGTATCAACTTAACTAATATGGCTTTAGAGTTGGTTGTTGATGGTTCAGCAAAAACTCATTTTTATAATAAACGTAATGCTCCAGAATATGAAGACTTCAATGAGTTCTACTGTTATTTATTTTGGGAGTTTGACAAATTTTGGCTTAACGCAAAGCCTAAGGATCTTATGGAGTTCACTATTCATCGAGAGAACTTTGAGAAAGTTATCAGAAAGAGGTTGAACAAGTATGATACAATTTTTCAAATTGATGTTCCTACTAATGAAACGACTGAAAATTAAATAATTAGAAATATATTTGACCTCATAGCAAATTGTATTCAAATTATTTATAAATAATATTTAGTATAAATACCCTTGTTTCTATTGTAATTTCTAACTTGTTCAAAAAAAAGATATGATTTAGTTAAGTAACTGAAAAGTTAATAACAAAAATCTGTAAGATTTAGGTTGATGAAAAATAATTTATATTTTATATCTTATATCTTATATCTTATATGTAAATAGTTTGTTTTAATCTTAAGTCATTTGTACAATAATTTAATATATAAATTAGTGTGAGTTTTTTTCATCAATTATAGTGTCTTATATTTAAATCAACTATAGTTTGGGGTTAAAATTTGTATCTTCTAGTAAGCAAAACTATTATTAATTCATACATTTTTTATTTATTTTGAGCCAAAAAATTGAAATTACAAAGGAGTTAAATATTAATTATTAAATAAAAGAAATACTTTTATTTTTATTAATAATTTATTTAAGATATTAGTGTGATCTAATTTTACTCTCTAATTTTACTAAATTTGCCATAAATATGACTGAATTATATTTTTTTATAAAACTTACTCGTATAAAATATATAGATTAAAAAAACAAATTTGGTGCATTGAAAATTAATAATAATTGACTAATAAATTATTGGACTTCAATTTTATCATCAACATTTTCTGTTTAAGATATTTATTGACTTCAGTTAATTTGACCCTACAGTATAATCCTTTAGGATAACTTATGAAAAACCTAATCTTATACCTTAGTTTAACTAGGGTAGGTGTGGGTAATAAGGCCTTGCTAAGCTTGTATTAGATTTTGCATAAAGTCTAGCTAGGCCTTATTACCAATACCGACCTATACTATTATGTTAATATTAAATATCAATTTTAGGATGAAAGAAAGAATTTGGTAAAATTTAGTCTTAGTAATTAAATGGCTCTTTTTTCTATCAAGCATAAATATACATACAATTTTTAGAATTCATTAGAGCCTATTCAAATTGTTTTAGGTTCAAATCACTGCAATTGTCTTCCTTTTATTCGTAATCCAATATCATCATAGTACGAATCAAGTTAAAACATTTCACTCAAGAGTAAAATGAGACACTAAATGATTACTTTATTGCTGGTTTATTCGATGTTAGATGGTAAGAACTAAGATTTTCTAAGAAAGTGAATACTAATTTTTAGTAGTACATTAATATTAATCAGGGCTTAAAGTGTAGAGGATAAACAAGAAGACTTAGTCTCTCTACATCTCACAAAGCCTAACAAGTGTTCAACATGAACACTCAAAATAGTGTACTTATCATAGTTGTTCCTATTTTTTTTTTTACATTAAGCCTTGGTGTTAGTTATCATTTCAACTTAATGAATGAAATTGTTGGTTTGTTATATTTATATTTATGGCTTGGATCTATAAGAATTTAAACGACAAATGATTTTATTTCCTATGATTAAATTATTAAAATTTAAATTTATTAACACTGGTAATTTAGGATTAAAAAAATTTCAGATAAAAATATAGTTTTTCTTTTTGTTAATAACTTATTATGTTTTTCTTGCGATTTAAAAAATATGGGTTTTGAGTTTTATTCTTTTAATCCCTGAGTTACATATTTTATACACACTATTAAAATATAAACATAAAAAATAAATAATTATATGATTAAATATTTTTATGAAATAATGGAATTTAAGTAACATTAAAATCGTAACTAAATTAACGAAATGTTTTTTCTTTTATAATTATTTATACAAGTTTACATACATATTATATTTACATGTTTCATATATTATACACCGTTCATATTTACACATAATACATTTTCATTTTGTATACACAATTTGATAATTGATAAAATATTCGTTCTTTGGACTAAATATATGTAAAGTACAATGTGCAATGAATTGAATAAATTGGTCTATTTATTAATTTAATTGCACATATAAATAATAGAATAAAACAGACTGGATATTAAATTGAATAATTTTAATTATTATATATTTTCTATTTTTGTGGGTGCATTATGGTTATTATTCTTATGTCACATATTAAATTTTCAAAATGGTATAGGGATATAAATTTAATAAATGCCTCAAAGCGCGATTATAAAAATTAAAAACATGTTTATAATCGTGCGTTAAGTACTTTATATAGCTTGAAATTAAGAAATAATTGTTTTTTAAACGTACAGCGAAAAGATAATTTAAATTCTCTACGTCAAGCTCATAAATGTGTTATATTTTTATACGAATGTTAAATGACATTATGTAATATTGTCATTCAACGTGCGATACAACATAAAAATATGCATGTTTACGCTGTACAAACACATTATTAAACATATTATTGACGTAAATTATTTAGATCAGATTATTAGAAAAAAAAAACTAAGAGATAATTGTATCATGAAACACTTTGAACTCAGGTACCGGATTTTGAAATCACGCAATCATTAGTTGGTTTTTTCATCAACTCAACAAGATGGTGCATATTTTAAATTGCAGTTATTGATTAAAATGATATAAATCCGACCAATGTTTTAGATTGATTTTTGGAATTAACGGCGATTTACATGGTAGTAAGTCATTTGCAGTTGACCTTGGTTTAAAAAATACACTCTGTTGCATTGTTGAAATATTATCACTATTGTCACAAAACACTCTAGCTAGAGTAACTTTTCTGATTTCAGCTAATTGTTCTAAAATAAAATAGAAAATTTTTAAATACGTTTTTAAACGGCTTTAACTTTAAAAAGAGTTATGATTAATGATTCTAACGTTTAGTAAATACATCTGGTAGATCGTAAAACAGTCTATCTGATTTTCTCGTTCGCGTAAACTGATCTTTTATAATGCACTTCATTGTTGGGCCCACCATCGAGCTGTACTCGGGTTTTTCATATAATATACCAACTATGAGGTCTACATCGTTCACACTTTTATATTGCTTCAACAATTTATCTGTTGACTAATACAATATATATTTTGTTATTCATATATTAGGAAATACACGACAATATGTATTTTATTTACATCTTTATTCATGACCCGTGATAATTCTTCAAAGCTGTTCAGTGTTTCTAATCCGCAGTATTTTCTGAATTGAGTATAACTTGGCAGTCCATGATCACGGCCTCTTTGTATGTCTAAACTGACCACGTCCATTCCGCCGACTTTTGGATTGTCAGGATTGCTGTACAGATGATTTGTTACCTATACAATTAAATTATAAAAATTATTATGATACAAATACTCAATCAAACACTACGTTTGGGTTAAAAAATTTAATACTCTAAACAAATTCTTTAATAATTGTTAATTTTTTTGATTAAAAATATAAATTTAAATATATTATTAATAAATAAAACTATCATAGATAAAAGACGTATTTAATAATATGCTTTTTGGTCAGTCTTTTAAGGTGGCAATATTCAAAATTTAGCCATCGATGAGAAATGTAACCCGGTCTTTTAATCTTTATAAGATATCACTTATAGGAAATTATTTTCATGGCTGAAAAGAAATAAGGATGGTAAATATTTTTGAACTATCTTGTTATTTCTGCAACAATTGTATTCCAGTTTAAAATGTAATAAGATGTCAATTTTTAACAATAATACTCAAGATATAATACGACAATATTAAAAATTTTTAAAATCGTGTTTTCCGAATACTCTTGTTTTGCCTACAATTTTTTTTCTATTCGGTCACATAATCAGAACCGAATTTAGAAATTGTGGTGTCCGAGGTATTGTTTTCAGCCGTCTCAATGGTCTTTTTATTTTACTTGTCCAAAACATTTTTTTCTGCGACGCTATTTTTTTGTTTTTAGTCTCAATGAGCAAAAAAAAAAAAATTTTAACTCTTAATTCATATTGCTGGATAGCTGGCTAGAATTTATCCAGTGCCCCCCTAGATGTAACCTTACACATAGTTACATAACAAGTTTAATACCGTCAATTGGACTAACTTGATGAAACTTGGGGCAGTTAAATACTTTATAGATTTCATTATTTCATTTTTGTGAACAAATATATATGTATTTATCTTAACAATACTTGAAAACATTTTACTTGTGCAGTAGATTGATAAGACTAAAATTATAATAGATATTTACTGCCTCTAGTTTAATCACTGGCTGTGTATAACTTACAGCTTCAGAAAATTTCATATCAATTTTTTCTGCGTTTTGCATTGTCAATCCTCGAATTAGTTCGTCCATTAAATTAATTTGCACATCAGATGGATTATTAAAATGATTTGTTAGTGATATATTGCTATTTGAAGTCCTGGTTTCAACGTATAATCTATATTAAGTAAATAATGAGTTGTAAGAGTGAATTTAGAGTACATGTTGTGTACAAATTTGTGCTTACCCTAAAGTTTCGTTGATCATCGAGTTAGCAAAAGGCAACACTGCAGTTGCAAAACTATTACTCACTGAAGGATTGATATTATCGTCATATAAATTACTATATCCGTTTGTTAACAGTTCCAATTGGTTTTTCTTTAAAAACTTATTCCCTAGTAGCGCCGGTAACCATTCATTATATGTAATGTGTTGAATAGAAGCAGTTACAATTTTCTTTGCTTCTTGAAATATCTGTTCATCATCCCAATTTTTATTTATATATCTTAGTTGGTCTGCTATTCGATTGTGTTCTCTCATCCAAAGTGTGTGCATAACTGTTAGATGAGGCTGAGCATTAACCCTAGCGTCACCAGAAATGTAACATGTGTTGCCATTTTGACATGAATTTGATCCGTCAATGTGCAATGGCATCAACTGTGTACTTTGATCATTGCTAGATATTAGCAAGCGACCTCCTGTCAACTGTCTTAGTGACATTGACTGCTTTGATGAAGTTCCATAAATCATAGAAGCATCAAGAAAATGTGTTGCTTGGTTTAGCTAAAACATACAGATTTAAACGTTGAGGTTTTTAAAAAATGTTCTTAATTATTTTTGGGAATTCTTACTTGTTCCCTAGGGCCAAAAGTACAATCAGGCCGAATAGCTGGAACTGAACGAACATAATTCATACAAGTTCGACGTTGTGATGAAAAAAATGGATCGTCCATCGGAATGATAATAGGCGCACAAGCTGGATGTGTATGCCGAGGGGCTAATTTCGTACCATATTCATTGCAACAATCCACCGATTTATTTGTTTTTACTAAATATTATAATCATAGCACATTATAAATGTGTGTAATCTAAATATGCTTAATATTCATAAATAATGTTATATGAAAGATACACGATATTAGTTTGTTAGTATAAATTACAAAAATTTAATTAAAAATAATTAAAAACATCTACTCACACATACTGGTTACTGCAGTATGCGATAAGTCATGACCAATAAAAATAGTCCAAAACGCCAATGCTAGAGTTTTAAAGTTGTCTGGAGAATTGTCACTGTCAACCAAGCTATTACTAAGAATTCTCGGGCTAGGAAGGTCTTTGATGGAGTTAATACCTTTGCAATTTTTAATCAAGTTATTATTGTAATTTATTTACAAAATTATTTAATTTTAATTATTTATTCACCGTCTCCGTAGTCGGGAAAAATCAAACGCTTATACGCCGTATTAGATTTTCCCCACGAACTATGCTTCTTATTATTACATGACCCATCAGCACTTCGGTATTTTAAACTTTTACCGTCACAAGCTATCGAGTCCTGATTATCCTTAAGACAAGTTTTACCTAATGAAGTCTGGTCTAACTTTACTTTAGCCAAATTTTTTGCGCATTGTGATCGACTTATGCCATATCTATACAAAATAAGTTTTACAACAATAAAGGTTGATTTGTTAATAAAAATGGTCATTACTACCTTAAACAGAACTTATTAATTAAATATTGCGACGCTTTTAAAATAATTTCGGCGTCACGAGACGCTAGGTGACCGGTCGTTGTGGGTTTCGAGTCTATTAACTGTCCATGAGCAGGTGTACCGGTTTTTACATTTATTTCTGCGTATGTTAACGTATCTTCGTATCGGGCAAGCATATTAATTTGAGAAATTCCATATTGAATTGCTGCTTCCAGGTCTTTAGTTCCAAGTTTTGATAGATAATTTGAACCTAAATTAAAGTTTGATTATAAGCTGTTTTGATGTACAATTTTTTTTATATTTTACCGTCTTCGTATGCTCCAACTTTTTGATTTAGTGATAAGAAAATCGACACTATAACTAAATTAGCAATACTCTTAAATATATTAATTTGTTTCATTTTTATCTAAAATAAATAAAATTAATCATTAGAAAAATTAATTATGATTAAATAAATTGGAAGTATTTATTATTTTCCATTGGAAAATACAATGTAATAAGTAATAAAAAAAGAAGTTTATAGTAATAACTTGTGGTTTTGTATTTAGTATTTGTGACACACACTGAATAAAATAATGAATGGTTGATTAAATTATTGATGAATATATTTATTATGATACTAGTAACAAATCAATGCTGAATAATCTTAGCTAAAAAAATGTACCGTATATTTATAACGTTAATCCGTTATCTGCATTAATAAAGGTTTTTAATTCGTTCGATATTTTTATGAGAATGGATAAATTTTTATTTCTTAGCTATCTTAAAAAGATTAAGTTAAAGTAATAGACTTTATTATAAATTTTGTGGTTAAAATATGCTATAAAATCTTATTATTATTATTATTAAAGTATTTATACGAAAAAAAAATGAAATTATAAAGTATTTATGGCTTTATATTAATTTGTATTTTAAATAAATGTTAATATTTTTTATTTTTACAATAAAAATTTTCTAACAATTTAGTGAGTAAATTTTGTAGATCTTCTTTTAAATATATATATTTATATTTATGTGATTGCTTTAATTGACTTGGCGACTTGGATTTTACAAAAAATTATTTTACATAAATTATTCATTATTGATAAATTACATTAATTTTAAATTTGCTCGTTATGTATTAAAATTATTATATTTTTATTAATAGTAAAAAGTTTAATTAGAGATATATAATTACGTTAAATGTAATGTTTTCCATTGATAATTCTAAATAATAATATATTTAGAATATAAATAATATATTAACATATTTTGTTTTAATAAATTTTATTTTTCATATGAAGAAGTATAACTACTATAAAAAATTGGTCTGTTCAAATGTTTGTTTAGGATAGAAGAGATCCTAAAGATATAATTGAAACAACTCGCATGTTTTTAATCTTTATTATAATTACGGTTTTTCATAAAATATTTCATTACACATTTTGCCAAGCATTTAATTTTTATGCACGTTACTACATTTTATTTTATAAGTTATAAATTTAACACATTAGACATATTATTACATCTCATATGACGACATAAATCCTCTATAAAATAAAAGTTTGGTCTATTAACCTTAACCTATTTTCAATAAAATTGTAATTAATTGATGTTAAGAATGATTACAATTTAATTTACAACAATTTTAATTCTTAATAAAAAAAAAAAATTAATATTGAAGTTGAAAGTTGAAAAATTAAGTATGATTGTCATTTACAATACATTAACTACAAATAAATTTTGTGGTAGGGGTACACTATGAAAAGTGTAATTCTCATGTTTAGTTTTCTCTCTAATATCTAAAATGTTTAGAGAGACATAATTTTGATATCCCTGGATAGCCTAGTCATTAATTTGGCTATTACTGAATTAAATAATGTCTTTAAATACCGGTTTGCTTGATGTAAAAAAATTAATGAATTAAAATATGCGCAGTGTGCAATCCATTCAATAAAATTTAATTTATAAATTGTTTTTTAAAAAAATTTAGCATTGTATTTCATAATTCAGTCATAATTATTGCATTATTATACTGTATAATAATAGATATTTTAAAAATAATTATAGCGAAATAGTTTTTTAAAGAAAAAAATATTATTATTACAATTTCTTTCTTTCTATTGAAAATGTATATTATTTTATCTATTAAAAAACTCAAATTGTGAATTGTATTAAATAATCACTAATTACTAAGTATCTAACTTACTGTTTAAAATGGACAACTGGACCAATAGTGGAAATTAAGTAACACGTAAGAAATCATCAGTATACAATAAACTGCTAGTCGTTAAGCTTGAATAACACTAAATGAAAATACATTTCATGATTCATCTTGGACAGCATACTAACACGAGGCTCCCTTCTCTGCCGAAAGATTCACCTTTGCCTATGTTATCTAAGCGTGGGTCGAAGACAATCGTGTAGTCCTACCTGTAGTACGAATTATAGTTGTAAAAATACGCATAAAATAGTAAAAGATTATTTTGATGCACCGTAGGAGAAATCATAATTTAGACATATACTAGGTATTTTTTTTTATTGGATGTCCGTCCAAGTTGTAAAATAATTTACTACAAATACTATAATGTTTATAATGTTCATTAGAACAATTAATAATCAGACTGTTTTGTCATGTCTTCTGGTCAAAAACCACCTAATATATATTTTATTCATAACTGTTTTAGTATAGACAATTTAAGTTATCTACTATTTAATATTTATCTCACATACCCGTATTGTACGGGTATTACTTAAAAAATAGTGTTTACTGTATTAAAATCATGTTTGTGCCCACTTTTCCATGGTTCTTTAAACAACACTGCATCAATTGATGTATACCTTTATTTATTGTGCCCACATAGGTGTTCAATGATAAACAGTAATTTAATAATATTACTTTGAAATTAGTATACCAATTAGTTGTTTAGGATTTTAAGTTAACGTTATTAATTAATTTAAAATTCACATCGGCTATCGAATTTTATTTTTTGTACTTCAAGAGAGAAAAACAATATTAATGTATTTATAATAATCAAATAATTTTCCATGTTATGATGAAAATCTGTTTAATTTAAAATTATTTTCCTTTGATGAAATGTTTGAACGTACATATTAAACTGTTGTTTAGATTTTTCAAAATTCCTGAAATTGTTTTTAAAAGGCATAACATTGATGTCATTTTTTTAATTTTCAATAAACATTTTATCGACAATTGTTATGGTTTATTCTTAATCAGTTAGATCTTCTTGTGTATTATTATTTAACATAAACCGTGTATGCATAATTTTGCGACTTACTTTGAGGATTAAATTAGAGCTTGTTAGTCGTATATGCGCCCTACTTATTTTTACAAAGTTATTTATAATATTAAGTATTAACCAGTATATAGACCACTACTCTATCAGAGCATATAAGAGAACAACTTTAAACCAAAACATACTTATTAAAACATAGGTGTAAAAAAAAATTTGACAATACTTTGAATTCTATATATAAGCTTTTAAAATACGATTAGTGTCGTATTTTAAACACCTTTTTAGCAACAAATAGTTTTCACAATGATTCATTTCATTCATGTAGGTAGATTTATGATGCAGTGATTTATGTATCAATATTTCAAGGTTATGGTCAAGACTAATATTATTGTAATTTGGACATTAGAATATGCTAATTGATTTAAATATAATTTAAGTAACTAACGCATATTAATGATATACACATATATTTTATTACAAAAAATATTTTCCCTAACTTTATTTTCGGTTTTGTGTAATTTGTAAAAAATATATTTATCATTATAAAACAGAAACGCAATAAGTTAAAATCTCTCTTATTCTATCATTTAAAATTCAATATGAAAATATGCATAAAAAACAGTAAATTTATTCAGTTAGATATCATAATAAGATATTATACAGAGGAAAGAGGTACTATTAACAATTTTTCACTTTTATTTGTCAATAAAAAACTAAATTAATAAATTACATTTGTTTAAATGATTATAAATATATTAATTATCATTTTCTTTACTGTAAACTGTATTTAAATATTTTCTATTCTGTTGAATAATTAATCAAATTGATACGAAGAAAAATATAAAAGAAACCATACAAAGTTAGAATGGCTTCTCAATATGTTTCATTATTTTACGTATTGTCTTTAATTGCCGGTATTAATTTTTTCAGAAATTACAGTTATGATCAGTTTATAGACTAATATAGCTAATATCGATAAAAAAATTAATTTTATCAATGAATTGACTGCAGTCCATAAAAATATAGAATTGATAATGCAAGTATATAATTAATAATTAATTATATATTATTAATTGTATATTATAATTATTATAATGAAAGTTAGTTTTTAATTTTAAAGCAGTGATGTAACTAGGGTCAGCAGTCGCCTCCCTCTGAAATTCATGTGAGAACCGAATTATTCACTAAAAACTATACTTTTAGATGGATTTTAAGGAAAAAAGCCATAGAAAATTAATTTTGTTATAAAATAATAAGAGAAATTACTTTACTCCCCCTCCTGGAAAAAATATGTTAGACTACGCTATTCCTTCAAGGTAATTATTTTAAAATGTGACTAGAATTATATGTAAAGCTTTACAATTTTAAAGAAAACTCAAACCTACAGATGCAGCTTTATTAAAACACTCGATTTTGCATTCATCATAAAAATTTTTATTATTTTTAAACACATTTATAATTTTTTTTTAAAACGTCATTTGATTTTTTTACTTGATATGATATCTGTAAGGTGAATAACATTAGTGTTTATATCTTATTAAATTATACATATGTGTGTGTGTGTGTATTATATTATATGTTATACATATGAACAGACATAATTTTTGGTAGTCTAAGAATTATAATTCTTAGACTATAAAAAAACACTCAATAATTTTTAAATGTTTAAGTTTCAACAAAGGGGATGAAATTTTAGGGTTTATTTCGTCTAATGTATGCTTATTTATAATGAGAATTTAAATTATTGTTAGTTAGTTGTTAAATATCTAATCAGCTAATTAATTATTTTTGTCGATTATTCATTTTCGTTGTGTTAATTGTTACTAATTTTACCTTAAATTGTACCTTTAGTCTAGTGTTATCTATTAATTTGAATTCGTTAAATTTTATCAGTTTCAATCTAAACTACTTTCTATTCGTAACGCACACTATGTGTACTAGAAGTATTTCAATACTTTCGTACTCACAATTTGTAAATCCAAAAATTTAACTTATAATCTTAGTTATATACAAAACCCAGTAATATGGATACGGCAGAATAGACTTTAGATTGAAATTTGATAATAATAAGTTTCACTAGCATAAAACGCTTTGATGCGATTATTATAAATAAGAACTAGAAAAAATAATTGAAAAACTTTGAAAAAATTACCAATTATGATTTTTTTTTTTGCTTTTTACAGTCTATTGAGGGCCATTGTGGCTAGTGCTTGGGTAAATCTGAATTTCGGGATCTCTGTGTCAGAAGAAAGGAAGTTGAAGTGAGATAGATTCCCCCAGTAAACATGATTACACGTTGAATATAATATTTTCGTTTAGAGGAAGCAATAAAATTTTTTCTTATGTATCTTCCCTTAAAAAACTAAACCCTAACTACGCCATTACTATGTATGAAGCTCAGGATATGTTATTATTTTTATTCTGAGATGAATAAAAATATTCATTTGTAAATTTTTTTTCTTGTCAACCACACAAAAACCAATTACAGATCATTTAATAGTTATAATCAATTTTTCAAATTTTATTTGCTATAAAATATTTCTTATGAACATATTTATTATTAAAAAAAAAAAAATTTATATGTATTGACTATTGAAGGTAAAAAAAATATTTTAGTAATACTAAAATATTTTTTCATACCCAACTATAAATTGAAAGCCCCATTCTATAATGTTAGAAATTCTACTGCTATTACTTAAAAAAAGAGGTTTTCAGGACATTTTTCTTTTTTAAATCTTAAAAGCTTTGATTTGGTTTAGGTTTAAAGATCACAGATACTATAATAATTTGATAAAGAATATTGTGTTGCTGCAACACTCGACATAATTAAAGCCAATACCTTCTCAGCAATAAATTATATTATATTTTTATTTTATTAAATTTTATTCCAAAAAAATTTTGATATAGAATATTATATGACATTTTATTTGTGTCTTCTTTACAAATTCTATAAATATTCTTATACTAATTATTTTGTTTCACGGCAGTTTAAAGCTTTGTCCAAATTAATTATCTTTATTTCAAGCCTAACATCTTCTCAAATTTGGATTACAAATATAATAATTTAATATTAACATCAAATTTTTCTTTTCTGGATTTTATTTACTTTTATACATAAACAAAAATTAGGATTAAGTTATCTCAACTTAATTTTGCAACTGGACATAAAAGACACAAAAGTAGCATTGTATTTATTATTTATTTTTGTTCAAATGTATGCCTATTCACAAAATTTGCGTAACAACTTACTTTTTTGTTTTTAAAATACTTTAAATTTGATTAATTTTGCGTTTACTTTTGTTTTACCGTGTCAGAGGTCATATTTTATCCAAGGATAATACCTTCAGATTGGTTACAGATTTTGGATGAACTATTGTTTTTAAAGTTATTTGAGACTAAACGCTGTATTTTATAATGTATTATCACTCTTATCGAAACCTGTTTTACGTCACGTTTACCAGGAACTAGTTTTTCACGCTCAATATACTCTTCAATAATCAACAGTAATCATAATAGTCTAGTACCTTTCATCTTAGTACGATATACACAAAGTTTTTCCATGTAAATGATCAAATAATACACTAACCTCTTTTTTTATGATAACCTATTAATTTCTTATTAATATTTTACAAATTAAAAATAAGTAATACATTAAATTAACGAAAGGAAAGTAAAACTTTTGGTTTACTTACAAAATGTTAAAGAGAATAATTTTTTTGATTCAATTTTAACGGTATTTATGTTGACTTATTAGCATGAATAACTTCTCGTTCTGTGCTATACGGTTCTTGTTTTTAAATTAATTGTGATTCTAAATAGTAATTGAAAAACTTACAAAACACGTGCCGAATTAATGATTGTACAGTTGGCAATATTCGTTTTTTGTAGATTAAATAAATACTTGATAAATATCTTTACTGTTAGTCTGAGATAACAGAATCATGTAAACAATATACTTGGAAGTTAATATATGAAAATATTAATTTTCGATACAGTTCTTATTCCGTAATATATACTGTATAATGTCAATTATACACCAATCTATCTATTTCATTTAATACTATTTGTTAAATATTATTTTATTGATAAAATATTAAACTTTTGGTTAACTTAGTAAAATAACTATAGGCACAACAAGAAACGAATTTTTGGGGGGACTAAATTAATTTTTTTCCTCGCTAAATATATAATTATATAACAATATACTTAATTTAAAAGTTTTTGAGGTTTAATTTTGCAGATGCTCTATCTATAATATATAATATATCCAAGGTCTAAACACGAGATAGATTAATTCTTTATTTGTTTTTTAATGTTTATAATCAATCATGCATTAGAAGTTCTAATTTAGAACATCAGAATGTGTATCTCTGCTTATAATGTAATAAAATTTATTTTGAGCTTACGGTTCTGATTCGGATAGATTAGATATAAATAATAATAATTTATAATTTTTTTGTTCTAAGGTAAACGCAATGGCCGAAAAAAATAATAAAATGGACTTTTTGGATAATCTTGAAGGTACAGTGATTAAAACCGGCAATATGGTAACGTTTGTCGCAGAAGACTTGGAAACTAAACTAAAACAAACAAGTCCTACATCACCAGTACGACCTTTGGGTAGATTTTTCTTAGATTCAAATTTACTTGACGAACTAGAATTTGAGGCAAAGAACATTGCTGCTTCTGTTGATACATTAACTGAGACTCTTTCAGAAGTATTGCATAGTATGTCTGCACTCACTGTAGAATGTTTAGAAATTTATAGAGACGTCGTTTGTAAGACTTGCGACTCTATCGACACAAATATTAGATCAATGTATCAACTAATGGCCAAATGTGAAGAGCTTTCTAAGGAAATGGAATCAGTCTATAAATTAGCTCAACAAATTAAAGATATAAAACACGTTTTAGATTTATTTGAAAATGCACTAAATTAATTTTAAATTATATCTCGTTTAATTTATTATTACCTTATACTTACCAAGTATGTAATATTACATCATTATATAAAAAGTACAATTATAAAAATTACAATTGTTAAAATTACATACAAATTACTTGATCATTCATTTTTTTAAAAATGTCATTGAATCTAGTCCTAATTTAACTAAAAGTAATTATATCCGAGTAGTGTAAAATATTTTATTTGTTTTTTATAAGTTTATTTTTACCATGATACCATTTTATAATTTTAATTTCGATGCAATTAATCAATCTATTTAATATAATATAAACTAATGAATATTTAATTATTAAATTTGTATTATATATTTTGTTGGGGAGAAAAAAACATAATTTTAATAAAAAAAAGTATTTGATCAAAAGCTAAACCAAAATTAGAATTTTTTTTTACTTTACATGATTAGATATGCTTTTTATCAAAAAGCTAGTTGAACATTTTTTTTGGGAGTCACTAAAATTGTGTCAAGTTTCCTTCTTACTATTTCGATAATTAGAAAATTGATTTTCAAAATATGTATGTTATTATATACAAGATGATTGTTTATGAAAACCTCAATTACTTTAAAAATAAAAAAGATGTTGGAAATGTATAGTTCTTGACCATTTTTTAGGTTTAAGTATTTCATGAATCTAAGAATAATAATATATTATTAGCTTCGATGCGAAGCTGAAAAAAGGTATTGGTTTTACTATGATGTTTTTTTTTGTGTCTGTTACCACTTTTTCTCAGCTCTCACCGAACGGATTTCTTTCTACGATACGTCAAAAGACCACAAATCGTATCTAGTCGAAGACATTACCCTCAAAAATTGAAAAAATTCCCCTCGTTTCCCGTAAATGGGAGAAACCTCCAAAAAAATTACAAATTTAAAATTTGCTAATTTTCGAAATTTTTTTTACTAAAAAGTGCCGTAACTTTTTCAAAAATGAACATATCAACATAATTTTTTTTTTTTTATAGATGCTTGATGTCTTTTCTTATCATTTGGTATATTTTTTTTGTAATTCCGACACTTAACCTGCCCACGGAGGGGGGATTTAAAATGACAACTTTTTCAACTTAACTTTTGATAATGTTCCGAAAAGTCTGACACTTTTATATATATCTTAAATTAAAGCTAATGTAATATACTTTAATTTGAATAAAAAAATTTGACCTCTGGACTTGTCTTCATGGTAAAAATGGCTACCAAATGCTATTTTTGTGTAAAAATTCTCGATTTTATTTTTTACATTTTTAATTTTATAATGCTATAACTTATTGAAAAGTGTATGGATCAACACAATTTTTTTATGAGAAATAATATTTTTTAATAATACCTTTTTTATTCGATATACTTTATCTTAATCAAGATATTAATAAGAAACTAGCAGATCATATAGCTTTTGGAATAATACACCAATTTTTTAAAATTAAACACTATCTACTGATTTGCATCAAAGCGTTTCTTATGATAGTGATTTTAATCACTGTCAGATATCATTATACTTGATCCAACTATGCCACGTCACCACTGTGACGCGACCCCCCTGTGCTGGGTTTTTTACCATGATGTGTTTTTTAATATAATTCTTTAAGATCTCCTGTTTACAATTGAAATGTTGGAATCAGGCTATTAGTTATACAAGTAAATATTTTATACTATGTAAGAACAGAGTTTAATTCTGTTAAAATGTGCTATATAAATTTTCACATCCTCTCGATAAAAAACAGTAGTGTACAAGAAAAAACAATATAGTTCAAAACAATATTTTTTGCTACTTTTGGTTATTAAAGAAGTAGTCTTCTTATAACCTAGCAAACATTATATATGAAATATGGAAAACTAACAATAGAATGCAGCACTCCAAATACTTTAGTATTATTTATCAATAAAATAACTTGACTATTTAATAAATGTATTTATCAACACAAAAAAATTAGAGTTCAACAACTCATTTATCCTACAAATTAAGTTACAAAAATGAATAGCAATACTAAAAACAATTATTTATGTCAGGAATATAATAAAATATTGTTTACAGAATAAAATCATAATAAGTCATTGGAAAAACCATTACTATTACCGTTAACTTTTTTTTCATTAGATGATGTTACTATCAGATCTTGTATTTTCATTAATATATCTAAAATAATAAATTCAATAAATACTTTTAAACAAAATCATTAATTTAATTAATTACCTTCACTATCATCTTCAGAACAACTTTCATCTGGAGTTAAACGACATTCATTTTCCAAATATGATTTAAGTTTACCACAAGAAGCCAACATTAAGCCTAAAAAGGGTGGTGAAGGTTTTAAAGGCCTAGATAAATATTCCGGATGAAATTGAGTAGCGACAAAATAGGGATGATTTTCTAGTTCACAAATTTCCATTCGTTTTCCTTCTGTATCAACACCAATAAATTTTAGTCCAGCCTGTTCAACTCGCTCAACATAATCCAAGTTAACTTCATATCGATGCCTATGACGTTCTTCAATTTGTTGACGTCTACCATAAAGCTTGTCTGTAAAAGAATAATAATAATTTAAAATGATTTAATTTATAACAAATTAAATATAATATTATTATCAATAAAAGTGCAACTTACAAATGTTAGAAAAACTACTATTATTTTTGAATATAGTTGTTCGTTTTCCAAGTCTCATGGTTCCACCTTTATTTTCAGGACAATGTTCTGGCATTTCAACTATTAATGGTTCTTTTGCATTTAAATTAATTTCAGTTGTTTCCGCATTTTCAATATGTAATACATTCCTATGATACACATTTAAATAATATCAGTTATCTTTCAATAAATTTATTTATTATTATAATTACCTAGCAAATTCAAGGACAGCTGTTTGCATTCCAAGACAAATGCCTAAGAAAGGTTTTCGAGTCTCTCTACACCACCTACACGCTTCTATTTTGCCTTCTACTCCTCTTGTGCCAAAACCTCCAGGTACTATTACTCCACTAATATTAAAGTTATTAAATTGAAATTTGTATAAGATCAAATAAGAATAAACATCAACATTTTAACTTACTCACTACGACACAGTTTTTGCCAAGCTTCATGATAACCAACAGGGTTAGAAATTTTGGTATCATTTTCTAAATTAGCAGCTTCAACATACTAAACAATAGTAATTTTATAAAATAGAATCATTGTAAGTAATTAAATACAACTTAAAAGTTTATTACAGTAATATCAACTTTATGATTTATATTTGCCCCTGCGTGTGTTAAAGCTCTCGATACAGATGCATATGCATCAGAAAGTTGAGTGTACTTTCCAACCAAAGCAATTTTAATTGTTTTTTGGGAGTAATCTATTCTGAAATAAAAGGAAAGGAAAATAATTAGTGTAATAATCTAAATAACCAATATTAATATTCATAGTACATGTAAATTACAATTTTATAGTTTTAAAAAATATAATTAAAAATATAGTTAATTACTTGTCTGATAATTTTTTCCACTGTTTCATAAAAATTTGATTAAATGTAATATTTATAGGAAGACTTAATCTATCTAGTAAAAATTCTAGAGCGCCTTGTTTTTCCATGAACAATGGTACTTTATAAATTGAATCTAAATCATGCATAAACAATACCTACATAAATAAATATTAATCATTATATCAATTACATGGGAATTTTAATAAACATGTAAATATGAATTTACTTGTTTCAGTGCGACATCACAAAATGTAGATATTTTTTTCTTGACTTGTTCTACATTATTACATGGCTTTGTACTTCTGCATATAATTAAGTCAGGAGTTAACCCTAAACCTCTTAGTTCGCGTACACTAGCTTGAGTTGGTTTTGTTTTGTCATCACCAGTTGCACCAGGCTAAAATTATAAATCATATTTAATTAAATTAAAATATACAATTAAACAAATTATTAATATAAATCTTTTAAAATTTAATTATATTTCAAAAATGAAACAATAAAATAATAAGTAAGATTTGATTTTTCAGAAAACAAGTTCTTGATTTTTATTTTTCCAATACCACATAATGTTTTAATAACAAAACTTGTTAATTATAAAATGATATATAAATTTTATGTATGTATTAAAGTCTAGAAATTATGATTCTTATTTATGTTATTAAAGAAAACAACTGATACTAGAATCAGATAGGTAGTAAATTGTTTTTTTTATCTAATTGGAAGGATCAATGTATTTTAAATTAATATAGCACTATATGGTATCTATAATAAATAATATAAAAGGCTTTAAAAAGACAATTATAATATCAAAATTAATTTTTTTACTTGAAGTATAAATGAAACATGTGCACATATTAAGTTTTCTTTTTTAACTTTAAACTGAAACTGCCGAAATGCTTCAACGAAAGGCATGCTTTCAATATCACCAATTGTACCTCCAAGTTCAACAATACACACCTAAAGAAATTAATAAACATTAAAAATAATCAACTTCAAATAATAACAATCTTACATCAGGTTGCACACCATCGTCACTGACAGGTTGTTTAGCCACTCTTTCGACCCAATCTTGAATAGCATCAGTAATATGTGGTATGACTATTCATTCAAGTGAGAGCACATAAATTAATAAAAAAAAGTATTTACTAATACTTTAGAGTTAACCTATTATATAAGCTAATAATAATATAATTGAGTTCAATAAAAAATTAATAGATTTTCTAGGTAAACATTTTTAATTATTGAATTTTAACAAACTCTATTAAAAAAAAAAAATACACTATACATTAATAATAACAAACAAAAGGATTATTAATATAAGGTTTGTGATCATTTGGTGAATTCAACTAAATAATATTTATTTAAATTATAAATTATTGAGTCTCTCAGAAACCAAGCAGATTTATTTTACTTTTATGTAAAAGTATTTTCTTTTTTAATCCAATAATACTATTATTAGCACATTTTTATTTAATAATTATTATTATAACAGCATAGTTATGTTAGAAACAAAAGAATATTATAAAAAAAAAAAAAATGGGAGCATGACTACTGAAAAGAAATACATATTTAATTCTTTACAACATATAATATGTATTAATTATATGAAAATGTTAATATTGTGTGCTACCACAAGACAAAGTATTTAGGTGTTATTTTATAAGACCGTGAAAGCTGATACTACACTTTTATAATCTTAATAACTCTACACAAATTAATATGCACTAACAACAAAAATACTTGGGTGAACCTTACACAGCACCCAATCAACCATCTCAAACGACTGACTGAGGTGGCCCTAACCCACAGTTCCCATCCACTAAAACAAGATAACAATTGAATTAAAAAAGTGAATATTTTTGAAGAAGTGATTTTAAAAAAAAGTGGTGTTTATCAGCTTGGCTGCTGAGTGCCTCAAATTATTCATTTAACATTTATATTATTAGACTTTTAGAAGTCAATTCTTTTGGCCAACCCCAAGTAGTTGAGATTAAGGTCGAGGAAAAAGAAGAAGAAATCAATTCTTTCTTTTTAAATTATTGACACACATGTTTAGAATACTTAATATTTGTAAAAGTTCATTTGTTTTTATAAAGGATTTATAAATACTTTGAAATTCTCTTTTAAAATCATTTAATTTAATTATTTTTAAAGAAATTAGTTGGTATAAATTAGATATTTTGAGGATTCTTCTTAAATTTAAAAAAATTTCTTGATAAAATTGGTCCACATTACTCAACAAATATAACTAGGGTATAGGCTTAAAGAAGCAAATTTAACCAATTCCTTACTTTTCAAAAGAACAAAATTAAAGGTTCCATTTAAGCTGTTGAACAAATTTGATTTCTTCAATAAAAAATATAACTTCCAACATCATCACATTTAAAAATATTTTATATAGTGTCCCACCAGGTATGATATCTTTAATGACTTTTGATCCAACAAATATTTTACGTTTTTTTAAGTTTTGTATTAAGCAAATTTTTTATAATTTGTCTTAAATAGGAAAGAAAACATTTTTTATTTCTGAAATTTTATAATAGCCATTTTTTTAACTCTTTTGAAACATAAAATTTGTTGGTTCAATAATAACTTAAGGATATGATTAACAAGCATTTTAAACATAGAATGGGTATGCATTGTAGATGGGTACAGCAGATATTGGGTTATATTGGAGCACACTCTACACATTTTAAATATAACATAATATTTTTTATAAGAAATAACTATTATGAAGTGTTTAAAAAAAATTATATTAAATTAGTATCTTATTAGAGACAAATACTTAAAAAATATTTATTTATATATGATTTTAATAGTCTAAAACTATAAAAATTATTTTAAAAAAAATTTAACATAAAAGTTTACAAGATTAAAAGTTATTAATGATGCAATAATATGTTTGAATCCAATCATTTTTTAGTAAATATATCCTTATAATCATAATGTTATAAAAATAGCTCAAAACTTTCATTGAAATAGACTAATAATCAAAAAATTTCCTTTTTGTTGGATACACTCCTTCCAATTTATTGGATTCTAGACTACACTATGGTAATATTTATATCTAAGAGGATATTAAACTTTTTAATAACAATATTATTGAAAAATTAAAAATATAAATGTGTAGTAGATTTTTATAATATTTTTTGTGTTCATTTCATCTTGGGATTGAAAAATTAAATGTGTTAATATCAAATAAATTTTAGATCTTAATACTCAACATTGTTTTCAGAGGATCGTATTCAATTGTAGAAGAGGTTTGGTTGGGTTATATTACCTTCCACTAAGCAATAACAAACATCACACTAATAAATTACATGAGTAATGAAAATATTTTGGAACTTAACATGTGTTAATTCTTTTATTCTTAATAATAATAAATATTTTTGACTATATAATTTTTTTTTTATTTATTACAGAATATTTCTGTAGTTTAAAATTTAACAGTATTTAATATTTCAAAAATAAATACTATCAGAAAGCAATTAATATTTAGAACACTTATTATGTATGATGAGTGATAGTACCTTGTACAGTTTTGCCTAAATAATCTCCTCGTCTTTCTCGATTTATAACTTCTTGATATATTTTGCCTGTTGTTATATTATTAACACTATGCAATGTAACATCCATAAATCTTTCATAATTTCCCAAATCTAAGTCGACTTCACCTCCATCATCTAATACATATACTTCTCCTGTACACAAAATAATCAATAAGTACATCTTAATATAAACTAAAAGGTAATTATAATTTTAACGCACCATGTTCATATGGAGAAAAAGTTCCAGCATCAATATTTAAATATGGGTCAATTTTGATGGACGTCACATGGATACCACACGATTTTAAAAGCGTGCCTATAGAAGATGCAATAATCCCTTTTCCCACACCGCTCATAACACCACCTGTGACTATTATGTATTTCATGTTGGAAAAGTTACTTAAATGACAAAGACAATATTTATACTAAAATGTACAACAAAAACCAATGGATAATACCATACAATTGCCAGTATGATCAGACATCTGTAAACTGACAAGAAATCATATAGCACGCGAAAAGCGCGGAAAATATGTTTACTGATAATTCTAGGTTAATTGTTAAGAATTAGCTTACTATCTAATATAATTTTTTTATTATATAAAACTAATCGATTTCCTAAGATACACTCTTTTGTTGTACTATTAAAAGAAAAGTTTTTACATTGTTAAATATTGCAAAATATTTTTGAAATATTTAAAAATAGAAATTTTAAATTAATTATTGCTCTATTGCCTCCCTGCTAAATATTGTTGTTTAAAGGTCAAGGTTGTGGTTTTGATTGATAAGTTCAGTCAATTGGAGATTATTCAAAAAATTTCCTGACATCTTTTCAGTAGTACCTTTTTCACTTTAGTGTTTGTTGTTCGGTGAACAATTTTGATACTTTATCTTGTATTTTTTAGATTTACTGTGATTTTTCTTTATTGCTAAGTTATGCCATCCAAAAAAAAAGTTTGTATTTTGGGATCCGGAAATTGGTAATTATAATAATCAAAATATTTTTTACTTAGAGGAAAATGTAATCTAATTTATTATTTTAGAGCACGTGTTTTACTTATAATTTTTTAGTGACGAATAAATTTTCGAGTTAATATTTAAATAAAATGAATAATACTTGGTTGTCTTAAACATTCCAAAAGCTTACTTTTCTTAATAGACAATCATTTGAAAATATAAACAATATTTTACGAGACAATACAATAATCAATCATCTCTAAATTACATTTTTACATATTATTTTGGAATAATAATCGTATAAGTATTTTTTTAATATATCATTTTGATTTGATTATACATGCACTTTTCTAAAAATAAAAGTTTAAAATGCTTTGTATTTATAATTTGTTACTAGGAGTATTTAAAATTTATTCTCAATTAATTAAATATAATATGTTTATTATTGAGTTATAATATTAAGTTATATGAAAATCACATGTCTATAAAATAATTAACTATCGATTGAAAATTTTATTTTCAATTTGTCATATAAAAATTATAGCTAAGAAATAATTGATAAAGAGCTTAATGAACTTTGCAATATGTATAGCATTCATTTACAGATTCATGTTGTTTTGAATTTAATTTAATCACCAAATAAAAATTTAAAACCTGAAAATCCGGGGAAATTAAGTTTTTTTTTAATTTGAACATTTAATTTTGATAAAGTTTCATTATTACATAAATTATTCAATTCCAAATTTTTTTTAATTAAAAATTATTTTATTTTTAGGGGATCAGCTATTGCCAAAATTATTGGTACAAATGCTGCCCGTTTAGATATTTTTGATTCTTGTGTAAAAATGTGGGTTTATGAAGAGATGATTGATGGCAAAAAATTGACTGAAATAATTAATACCACTCATGAAAATGTCAAATATTTACCAGGAAAACAACTTCCTGAAAATGTGGTAAGTGGTGATGTTGTATAAGAATAGTTTAAAACTGTAGTTTTTATTATACTGTTTGTAAGTTACTACTTATGAAATTTTTTTTTTTTAATTTTATAAATTTCTTGTTATTATATTTTTTTAGATTATATTCTAATTTAAATTTTAGGTTAATTTACACATTTTTGTTTAAATGGTTTTTTATATTTCTATAAGTATTAATATTATTTTCATAAGAGTTGCTATATTGGTTAGATTTTTTCAAATTTATTTAGAGGTATACATTTTTGTATACACTTTTGTAAAAAAAACATTTTCATAACAATTGTCATTAATGTAATATTTCTTTTCTTATGTGTATACATAAATTAATTTTTACTTGACAATAATGCGAATTTCATGCATTTGTGTTATTTCAATGTCATTACATTGTCATTAGACAGTATTATTTGACCTTTTGCCAATGCCTTGGCCATGTATACTTAGTAATGGAAATCTATAAAAAAAACTATGAGACCTGACCATTTCTAAAAATATTCCAATTTTTGTTTTTTTTATTTTACCTAATCCTTGTTTATTATCAGGTAATTAGTATTAATAAAATTTTGTTTTAAAAGTATTTCAACACTATTGTTAGTATATAAATTATTACAATAGTAATTAGAGATTAAATATAAGTTTGTTATGCTACAATTCTATTGCATAACACTGATTACTTTTTTATTTATCTCATTTTAAAAAACAAATTGTACTATGTTCTTGTTTTAAATTATGATTTATTATAGAATAAGTTTTTTTAGGTATTTTATCAATTTATAGTGATAAATTAACATTTTTATATATTTTTTTAATTAATTATAATCTACCCGTTTTAAAACTCATTCGTATTTTTTGTACTTAGATAATTATAAAGAAAACAAAATTTATATAGCAATCAGTTTTTATAATTTGAAAAAATGTAAACTTATATAGGGGGAGATCAAAGGAGAAACTAGATTGTTTGAGTTAAATATTTTTTATGTAATTTTAATTTAAAAAAATTAAAATATGTTATTAAGTTCATTATTTTGTATGTTACTGAATGATATTCAAATAAAATTATTTAAATTGATATATTTTTAAGATTTAAATTATTATATATTAGTTATTTTATACTTTAAGGTTGCGATTCCTGATAAAGTAGAGGCTGCTAAGGATGCTGATATTATTGTATTTGTTGTTCCACATCAATTCATACCAACAATTTGCTCAGAACTGATTGGTCACATCAAACCAACTGCTGTAGGACTTTCTTTGATTAAGGTATAACAATAATAACTATAATTAAAATAATATTATTAAATATGTTTTTTATGTAGGGTTTTGACAAAGCAGCTGGTGGTGGAATAGATCTAATTTCTCAAATAATAAATAGGCAGTTAAAAATCAATGTTTCTGTTTTAATGGGTGCAAATTTAGCCAATGAAATTGCTGATGAGAAATTTAGTGAAACTACAATCGGTAAATCTATTAAAGAATTACTTGAAAACTTAATATCTTCTTCTTTTTCCTCACCTTAATCCCAACTACTTGAGTTCAGCTAATGAAAACTTGATATCTATTATGCTTTAATAAAAAATTAATTTATAATGTAATGCATAAACCTGGGTAAGACATTTAAAACAGTAGCTTATTTTTAAAATCTCCTTTTACTAAATATAATCATATTTTATAATTGTAAGATACATTGTAAATATAAAATTAACTAATATACTAGGTGATTCACTAATGAACCACTTAGTAAATCAAAAAATAATAATAATTTTGTTATTGGTTTCTTTTAGTTTAATGTTTTTCTCAATGCATCAATCATAAAAAAAATTTATGTTCATCCCTTTTAAGGGTGTCAACTTTAATTTTTCTAATGGCAACATACATAATTAACTAGCTTATTTATTAGATAATGATCTAATTAAAAAAATTACTGGTCAATTACAAATTTTGGGAGTTATTAACATACTTATATCTAGGTGAGAAGAGTATGGCCTGGAAATTTTTAATTATAAAAATAGCAGCACCCACTATTTATTTTTACCCGTAATAAGGTTATAAGATTTAATTCTAAAAAGTAATTATTAGAAGCTAAGTTAAAAATTATATATAATTAAAAAAAAATCAAAAATTGTTATATTAGTATTGTATTTATTTTGCAAGTAATCAATAAAACAAATCATTCTTTATATCAAGATTATTATTAATAACTTCCAAAATATTGGTCCAGAAGTTGTTATCAACAGTAATTTTTATTTATTTATTAATCTACTTAACTGTGTATGCTACTATTTGAAAAAAATGTTGTTACTTATTTTGTAAAAAAAATCAAGATCTAATCAATATTGAACATAAAAGCGATATTTTTCAAGATAAATACAAAAAACTAAAACTTCACTCCTTGGATTCAATTTTTTAGCTTCGATGCGAAGCTGAGAAGGTATTAATTTTATCATGATGCGTTTATTTTTTTACTTTTTTTTTTTTTGTCTGTCACTACTTTTTCTCAGCTCTCACTGGACCGATTTCTTTCAAAAATACGTCAAAAGANTTTTTTTTTTTGTGTCTGTCACTACTTTTTCTCAGCTCTCACTGGACCGATTTCTTTTAACAATACGTCAAAAGATAACAAATTGTATCTAGTTGAAGACATTACCCTTAAAAATTAAAAAATTTTCACTCGTTCCCCGCAAATNTGAAGACATTACCCTTAAAAATTTAAAAATTTTCCCTCGTTCCCCGCAAATGGGGGAAATATCCAAAAAAATTACATATTTAAAAATTGACAAATTTTGTCATTTTTTTCACTTTTTTTTCTTAAAACTTCCATAACTTTTTAAAAAATCAACAATCAACATAATTTTTTTTTAAACTAAAACCTTAGATATTTTCCTTTTATTTGATATAATTTTTTTGAAAATTTAACACTTAACCTGCTCATGGGGGGGGATTTAAAATAGCAAACTTTTTTACAAAAACTAACTTTTTCAACTTAATTTTTGAAAATGTTCTGGAAATACTGCGTCCTTTAAACATATATCAAATTAAAACTTATTTTATGTACTACTAAATGAAAAAAAAAATTTGTCCCGATGACCTATCTTCTATGCGCAATAGGCTACCGTATTCAAAAATATGCTATTTTTTTATTAAAATTCTGGGTTTTGTATTTTATTTTATTTTAAAATATCTTATTAGGGGAATAAACTGACTTTCATGAATATTATATAATTTCATTGACATAGAATGAAGTTCATAAGACATATGAAATTATACTTATTAAAATTTTTTTACTTTTTTAAAGTCGAAAAAGTAATTTATAAATTTGAGTTAGCTTAAATAGCCAATTTTATCATGGAACAAAAAGCAACAAACAGTTGCCGAATGGGTAACACCTTGATCTTTCACGTCTAGGGTACGAGGTTCAAATCCGTGTGTGGCTTCTGNGCCTAGGGTACGAGGTTCAAATCCGTTTGTGGCTTCTAAAATTTTGCATTTTTTTTTTGAGTTAGAATAGAATTTTCAAATCATTTGATATTTATCTCATTTAGATTCAATAATTTCAATAAATATAAAAGATCTTATCACTATAGTCTCCCCTCGTCAGAAGAAATTGATATTCATGTTAATATTATTTTACTATGTGGTTTTTTTTGTGGCTCCGATTTATTTTGCCAACCCTCACTAGACCTACTTTTTTCAACGATACGTCAAATGATTCATTTAAGTTAATGATTAGTTTAAATCAANGATATTTAAGTTAATGATTAGTTTAAGTTATTACTCTTAAAAATCAAAAAAATATTCCTTATTCAAATAAAAAGTAGCTTAACCAGCTTTTTCCATACAAACAATTAAAATCATTAATTTTTAATATTCTTAAAGTATTTATTGTCGAATTAGATTTGATATGATAAAAGTATTCAACTACAAAAGTAAATAATTTTACTTTATAATTTATTAATTTTTTAACTCTATTTATGTGTGCTACTACTAGTCTATAATATGCCAAATTTTTTTGTAATATGTTGCTATATAAATCATAAATTTAAAAAAAAAAAATTTTTTGTTTCACCTGAATTTAACGATGAATTTTTACAATTATAATTATATTTTATAATATGCTCAATTGAGTAAATCTTTTTAACTACTTTGGTTTGATTGGTTCATTTAATTAAAGTAAATTATTAAAATTAATTAAGTTCTGAATATTTCAATTGCAGAATTTTTTTAAACACCAAAAGTTATTAGGATATGATTACTATTCTTTCTATTTCAGTTATCTATTACGATAAAAATGCAAAAAAATCGAATTTTTCTCATAAATGTACTGTAATTAGTAATTATAAAATTTCCAGATTGCATATTAATCTTAAAAATTTNTAGTAATTATAAAATTTCCAGATGCATATTAATCTTAAAAATTTCATTTTTTTTCAATTTAATAATGTCAATTTCAAACTTGCAAGTTGAACTATAAGTTATGATAACAAATTCATTTTTTAGCTTCAATGCGAAGCTGAGAAGATATTTTTCATTAAAACTTTCACTTTAAAAGACAATAAAAATAGGTTCAAAATGATTACTTTTAACATTATTAAAAATCAAAATCAGTATTAATTTAATACAATTTTTTTTGTTCTTAATTATTTTTTTTTATATGTAAATACTTATTTTTTAATAATAAGTAATAATATTAAAACTTAGAAGTAATAGAAAAGTTTAATTGCACATTTGAAAACATCGCGAAAAGTTTATTTAGAAAAGTATATTTTTTTTTCTGATGAAAGTTCCTTTTATTTAGTGTCTTATTCATAAGTAACAAAATTTTTTTATTAAAAAGTATTGCATAAATTCCTTTAAATTTGTATACGCATTAAAAGTATATCAATATACAACTCCTTTTTATTTTTATAATATCTCCGTAAAAATTACAATATTATATTATTGAATACCACTTTCATACTCAATTTAATTACTGTAATTATTATGTATTCATATATTATAGTTATAAATCGGGGTAAAATTAAGGGAATAAGTGTTATTGTTGTTTTTGAAATAATCTACCAATTTCATTTTTTTCTATTTAATAATATTTATTTCAAACTTGCAAGTTGAGTTAAAAGTTATGGTAATAAATTCATTTTTTTTTTATTAAAACTTTCACTTTAAAGAACAAAAAGAAGTTGGTTCAAAATGATTACTTTTAACATATTAAAAATCGATAATAATTTGAAAATAATTAATTATAAAAAATTTATAATATATAATTGAAATAATTACTAATCTGGATATAATTAAGGAAATAGGAGTTGATGTTGGGTTGGGTTGGTTACATTTTTAACTTTATAATGCTATAACTCATTGAAAAGTGTATGAATCAACACAATTTTTTTATGAGAAATAATATTTTTTAATAATTCCTTTTTCATTANAAATAATATTTTTTAATAATCCCTTTTTCATTCGACATACTTTATCTTAACCAGGGTATTAATAAGGAACTAGCAGATCATGCAGCTTTTGTAATTATCCACCAATTTCTTAGAATTAAACACTATCTACTGATTTGCATCAAAGCGTTTCTTATGATAGTGATTTTAATCACTGTCAGATTAAATCTATACTGGACCCAACTATATAACGTCCCCACTATGCCGCGACTCCACTGTGCTGGGTTTTTTTTATATTCAAACAATATAGGGGTTTGTAACTTTTTCATTTTCTGAGACTATTCTAATGTGCATACAAATGTGTAGCATATGAGTATAATTAGTACAAATCCATAATTATGACACCAATTATTATTAATGTATTCATTATAACTAAACCAATATGTATAATGGGATTTAATCAAAATAAAATTTTCTATTAACTTACAATTTGGTTATTGAAAAAGTCTTAATTAAAAAAATTTACTAATTAATACATTTTTTTATAACATTGTTATACAAATATATTGGTAGGATGCCNTTTTTTCATTTAAACAAATATTTTTCGAGTTACATTACATTTAATATGAGTACTAAAATTTATATTCCATTTTTTTCATTTTACGGTTACTTTTTATCATGTTACACTTACGTTAGACACAATGTTATAAATGCATATGTGTGTATGTGTGAGTTTATTTATTTATTGTATCATTAAAGTGTAGTGTATATTAATATACAAGCGATAGAGTAGGTAATTGATTTGACGCTATATTATTTAAACCCAACTAAACGCTAAATTGTACATTCCGAAACAACAATCATATTATGTCAATTGCCACCGGAATTTCTGGTAATATTTTTCTTTTTCTTTGCCTTAATCCCAACTACTTGGGGTCGGCCATCCTTATCCTAAGCTTCCACTTGACACGATCTCCCACATCTTCTACGCTCAAATCAGCTGTCCTCAAATCGCATTCAATAGCATCCCTCCATCTCTTTTTTGGTCTTCCTGTATATCTTCTTCCTTCAACATTCATTTCTATAACTGTTCTTACAGCTTTCGATTCTTCTTTCCTCATACCATGACTAAACAATCTAAGTCTATTTTCTGTCATCTTATCCACGATTGACGCAACACCTATACTTCCTCTTATATGCTCGTTCCTTATCCTATCTTCTCTAGTCACTCCACTCATCCAACTAAGCATTCTCATCTCTGCTACACTTATTCTCTGCTCTACTTTCTTATCAACCGCCCAACACTATGAACCATACATCATAGCTGGCCTCACAATTTCATACTAAATTTAAAAACTATAATTAGTATTTATTCATATATTATATTTTAAAATCAAAGAACTACTAATCAGGATATAATTAAAGAAATAAGAGTTCATGTTTCTTTTAAAATATTTCACCAATTTCTCTAAAGGAAACACTATCTACTGATTTGCATCAAAGCGTTTCTTATGATAGTGATTTTAATCACTGTCAGATTAAATCTATACTGGACCCAACTATATAACGTCCCCACTATGCCGCGACTCCACTGTGCTGGGTTTTTTTTATATTCAAACAATATAGGGGTTTGTAACTTTTTCATTTTCTGAGACTATTCTAATGTGCATACAAATGTGTAGCATATGAGTATAATTAGTACAAATCCATAATTATGACACCAATTATTATTAATGTATTCATTATAACTAAACCAATATGTATAATGGGATTTAATCAAAATAAAATTTTCTATTAACTTACAATTTGGTTATTGAAAAAGTCTTAATTAAAAAAATTTACTAATTAATACATTTTTTTATAACATTGTTTTACAAATATATTGGTAGGATGCCGAGATAAACGTGTTGGACCAATTTTAAAAAGTCTAATTCAAACTGATTATTTCCGTGTATCTGTTGTTGACGATGTAGAAGCTGTTGAAGTATGTGGAGCATTAAAAGTATGGATATTTAATTTTTTACTACACTAAATTAATTAATCTTTTCTAAAATATGTTATAATTTTTTAACCCTCTAGAATATTGTTGCTGTTGGTGCAGGTTTTGTTGATGGTTTAAAGTTAGGTGATAATACTAAAGCTGCCATAATACGTATTGGATTGATGGAAATGATTAAGTTTGTTGATCAATTCTATTCTGGTGCCCGCCTTGCTACATTCTTTGAGTCATGTGGTGTTGCTGATTTAATTACCACTTGTTATGGAGGTCGTAATAGACGTGTTTCTGAAGCATATGTAACTTCTGGAAAGGTAACTGTTAATATTAAATATTTATTTTACTATTTTATAGGTTTTTGTGACTAAATCTGTGATGTTTGGGAAAAGGGGGATAAGTGTTAAATTACAACTTTTGGAAAAATGAAATTGAAATATAATTTTTGTATATATTTTTATATGGAATTAGATGTTTCTAACTTATTTTTTCAAAAGTTACAATTTTTTACTTATCCTCTTTTGTGCCTAACATAGAAATATTCAATATTTGTTATATCAAATTATCTAATTTTAAAATAATTTAATATATAATTTTTGAATGAAATACCTTAAAAATAGTAGGTTCTTCTTTTAAAGAAATTTTATTAATTCTAATTTTTAAATTTATAATGAAATGTTTGTTTATACATTTTATAAGTTAATGGATTTATTTTTATAAGTATATTATAATTGTAGATAATGATAGACTACTTTTTAATAATACTTTTTTTTTTAATTTAAGTCAATAGTAGAGCTTGAAAAAGAGTTACTAAATGGTCAAAAACTTCAAGGACCAATTACTGCTGCCGAAGTTAACTTTATGTTAAAAAATAAGTCTATGGAAAATAGGTATAATATTAGAAATAAACATGTTTTTTTAAAGATATATTTAATTATGTATATACTTTGAATTTCAGTTTTCCTTTGTTTACTACTATTCATAGAATTTGTAATGGTGAAATGAAACCAAACGACTTAATTGAACAAATGAAATTGAATACTGATACGTAAGTCTTTTAAAATAGACAGATTTACAGTTTTTAATAATTATTTTTATATTTCCTCATTCAAATTCGATAATCTAAAAAATGGAATAGTCAATAGATAAAAAATAATTCATATAGTTCTATGAAAATTTCTTTTTTTATGAATATATTATTCCACAGTTATTTTAGCCTCAATGCGATGCTAAGAAAGTATTAATTTTACTGTTTTTTATTTTTTGAGTGTTTTTTACCACTTTTTCTTAGCTCTCACCAAACTGATTTCTTTCAATGATACGTCAAATGATTACAAATCGTATCTACTCGAAGACAATACCTTCAAAATTTGAAAAGATTTTCCTTGTTCCCATAAATGGGGGAAATCTCAAAAAAAATTACAAATTTAAAAATCGCTAATTTTCGACATTTTTTCAATTTTTTTTTTCTTAAAATTGCCATAACATTTTCAAAAATGACCAAATGAATATAATTTTTTTTTTATAGATGCATGATATCTTTACCTAACATGTAATAAATTTTTTTTAGAAATCTGACCCTTTACCTGCCCACAGGAGGGGATTCAAAATGACAACTTTTTTACAAAATATTAACTTTTTGAATGTGTTGCAGAAATACTGACACTTTTATATATACCTTAAATTAAAGCTTATGTAATATACTTTATTATGGAAAAAAGAAATTTGGGACTTTATTTTGTCCTCACAATGAAAATGGCTGCCGTATGCTATTTTTGTATTAAAATTCTTGATTTTATATTTTACATTTTGAATTTTAAAATGCTATAACTTTTTGAAAAATGTTTTGATCATTATATTTGTTTTAAGATAAGTACTATTTATATACTTTTTTTATGCGACTTTTTTTTTTTTTTAATAAAACCATTTCCCTTTATATATTTTTTCATATATTACACTAATAAATCATAAAACTTGTAATTAAGATATAAGTAAGGAAATAGGAGATGTAGCTTTTGGAATAATCTATCAATTTTTTTAAATTACACTATCTACAGATATTCATCAGTGTTTTTTATGATAGTGATTTTAATCACTGTCAGGTACATTATACTTGACCCAACTATGCTATGATCCGTGTAATGGGTTGTTTTTCTTTTATAATTTCTTTAATAGTATTGAATTTAAAAAAACTTTCTATTTGTAAGTCATAAGTTTTAAATATTTCCATTGATCTATTCAAAATGTAAATCATCATGTTATATTTTATTAATGCATTAGCTATAATTTATTTTTTAGTTTTCAGAAAATATTGTCTCCTTAACAAACATGTGCAAAGATATCCTGTTTCTTTTTTATTTCCATTGGCAATTTTTAAATAGGCCTATGTTGACTTATTTAGTTGCTATTATGTAAAATAAAATAAAACAAAATAAAATTGGCCCAAAAATACCTAAAATTTTTCTATAAACGGATTTAATATGTTAAAGAACTATTTATGTTTTGCTTGTCATTGGTATAATTTTCAAAAATAACATTTTCACTTAAATTTTCTTGACTTGATTCATTTTTTTTTTACTTTAAAATACATGAAATATTAATCTTAAGTTACATATTTGATATATTTTGTTTCATTCAGTTTTATTGATTTTAAAATTTTACTTTGAAACATGAATTCTAAAATAACAGCATCTTAAATTATCATTAAATAATAGTGTATTTGGTAAAATTAGAAATTATATTCTTAATGTTTATGCCTAGCCTAATAAATAGATTTTTTATCTTCTCATAATAACTTTCTAGACAAGGTTTTTTTTTTATTTTCCATACAATATTTTGTCACAAATCAGATTCTACATAATAAAAGTATTGTAGCGTCAATCTTAGATAAAATAAGAGAAAATAGATTTAGTTGGTTTGGTCATGTTATGAGGAGACAGGAAATGGAAGCTATAAGAACAGTTATAAAAATGAATGTTGAAATAAGAAGAGATAAAGGAAGACCAAAAAAGAGATGATGGGATGTAATTGAACACAATATGAGGATGGCTAATGTGAGAGATCGTGTCAAGTTGAAGTTTAAGATAAGGGTAGCCGACCCCAAGTAGTTGGGATTAAGGCGAGGAAAAAGAAGAAAACATATTAAAAGTATTATGTATTGAAAAAATACACTTCTATTGATTATCCTATTTAGTACATTATATGGTCTGGAATCTGATCAGTTGTATATTCAAATTACAATTCTTTTTTTATTATTATTAGTTAAGCGTTTTGTATTGAATCCTAGGTAAAATTTATTTAATTTCATTAACTTTAAATGATTTTGTCTATAATTTATTTTCTTATTTCCTTTACAGAAGATTCAATATTAAAAATCTTATCCTCATATCCTAAAATCAGTTCTTATATCAAATTCGTGCATCTTTATGGATACTAATATTTTAAAGTAATAAAGTTTATTTTCAAAATAAATTTACAGGTCTGACAAATTAAACATGGAAAAATGTAACCTGTAGGATTTTTATTTTGTAACAAATAAAGATGAAGTATTATATCTTGTTGTTTTTATTTATTTTAGGGATTCTGATCACACAGTTAAGGCTGGCGGAGAATAATTCCATTGTTCTATCTTCACATTTTTCAACTAGGTTGCTATACTTTTGTAAATTATTGTTAACATCACTGTTAATTTTTAATTTGTTGTAAGTTTCATAAATGTACTGTATGTTTGTTAAAGTTTTAATATTTTTATAGATTATTTTTCCTAGAAATGTAACAGCAAATGTTCTTTAAATTTTGCACTACCTTAAAAAAATAGTTGCACTAACTATGTTACCATGATGTTCATTGTTTAAAAACATAATAAAAATCAATAAAAAATATAATTTCTTAAAACAATTATAACATGGACACAATAATTAATCCAGAAATTACTATTATGACCAAAAATACTATTTCTTTAGTACTACTAGTTTCATCTCCATAATAACTTATCATAACTTTACGTTTTTTCTGCAATTCAAGTATAGATATAACTATATTCAATACATCGGGTATCATCAAAAACAAATCACGTATAATCTAGAAAAAAAATATATAAATATTATATTTACATAAAATAATGTCATTGAGATGTATAAAATGCAAGATATTAAGGTGATAAAATTGTTAAGCTCTAAGTATTCAATCTAAATTAACTAAAGTAAAAAAAATTGTTTTTTTTTTTATACTTTTCACTTAAAATCCTTGAATTTTAGATACATAAGGATAATTAAATGTTTTTAAATTATTTAAAAAGAATTTGAGTCTTTTTTTTCTTATAAATTCTATTTAAAATTAAATAAATTTTTATTTCTTTTATAAGTACATTAATATTTACTAATCAATTTCAATAATGTATTGAAAATCATCATCTCACTTGATGGGCAAATCCACTACCTCCAATGACATTTACAACAAACTGATCAAATCCAGCAGCGATCATATGAATAAGACCTATCGTGATCACTGATAACATATAACATTTTTTTATTTCTCTTTTACGATCACATATTTTATACAATATAATTGTTGAATACAATTCTGTAACCGTGAAAAATATTTGGTGGTTCCATTGTGAATAGAAATCATCATTCCAGTAGTTTATAAATCCCCACCTTTAAAGATTGATAATTTTTATTATTAATTATTATTCAATAGTAAGATTAAAAAAGGGGCTTTGTGCAACAACTACATATGTCCAAATTTTTCAGATAATAACTTTTTGTTAATTTTGAATAAATCTGTATGATTCAATATTAAAATGAGTTCTTATTATACATGGAGATATTTAATTTAGTAAAACCATTGCTTTTAATTAATTTTTTTTTATAAATTTGTTTCTCCTGAAAAGTAAAAAAAAAATGGTCTAAAAAGATTATTGCACCAAGTTCTTCATTAAAAGAATCTAATAACATATGTAGAGCTTTTATTTTTTAATGATTTGATTTTCATCTAATAATATAAAACTTGATAATTATCTTAAATTGAAATGGGAAAAATAAAATTATCTGAAGTATCAATACTAAAATGATGAAATAAATTTAATTTAATAAATAAAATAAAATTCCATCCAATGTAAAATTTCGATTTTATTTTCTTACCAAGAGTAATAATGTGAAAATAATGACAGAATGAAAAGTAATGTCATTTTAAACCGTAATTGCTTGTCTATAAATAGCTTAATAATGCTTTTAAAACATTCATACAATACAATTATACAACAAACAGTTAATGCCCACATTTTGAATGTATTATCAGTGGCATTAAAGTACATATGTTTGTACCTTGCAATACCAGCCTCATAAGGACCTTTAACAAAATAAAAATAATTAAATTTGTTTTTTAACTAATAATTTTTATAACCAAGACAAGAAACCTTTGAATACTGTATCCCAACAAGAACATCTACAATGTTCCTTATTGACACTGTATGTATAATCGCTCCAGAATTTATCAAGTATAAATATATGTACAGCTGGTATTAATATAGGAATTATAATTGCCAAACATTGTATTGTTTTTGATACAATATGTTTTGTTGCACTAATCATAACTAAAACTATAAAATTAACTAAACCTTTTGACAAAAAATATTTTATATTACATTAATAATGTATGTCACAACATACTTTAAAAAGTACAAATATAGAATAGCATAATGATTGTATTTTGTTCTAAAAAATACCTTACGAAATAATTTTGAATTTAATATAATATATTAGATACATTTAATAAACATAAGTATGTAGCTATAATAGGAGTTTAATTTATATATTTAAATAGATAAATGATATCAGATGATTAATGTTATTGATAAGAGTTTTATCTTATCTGTTGTGTTACGATGATAACGATTAATTACTTACTAGCATAGATTAAATACACATGTATTTAATCTATGTTACTAGTTACAGTCTATAGATCTCTTAATCATCGATATGACATTGATGCTTTATCAGTGAATGCTATGATGATAGTAAATTGAGGCTATTTGTTTGTATTATTACATGATAAGATTTTATTTTTTATTATTTAATAGTTAGTAATAAATAATTATTATGAATTATGTAATTTGTAATAATATAAAAGTTATAAGTTATTACAAAATTAAAAAACAGTATCTTATGCGCTTATCACAATTCAAATGTAAATACACAGACTCATTATCATATCCATTCAAGACAGCGAAAACACAAGAACCTCAATTATGAACACAGAAAGTCCATTCCATGTTTATAAGATCTGTTACAGTTACAAAAATAAATAATCTGTAAACTATGAAATAGCCGTGTATAAGACTAAATCATGAATAACATAAAAAATAGTATTTCCCATGAAGAAATTGTGTTGATCCATACACTTTTCAATGAGTTATAGCATTATAAAGTTAAAAATGTAAAAAATAAAATCGAGAATTTTCATAGAATAATAGCATTTGGTAGCCATTTTCACAATGAAGACAAAATAAAGTCCGAAATTTTTATTTTCTATAATAAAGTACATTACATTAGCTTTAATTTAAGATATATATAAAAGTGTCAGTATTTCTGGAACACTTTCAAAATTTAAGTTGACAAAGTTATCATTTTAAATCCCCCCCTGTGGGCAGGTAAAGGGCAAGATATAAAAAAAAACATACCAAATGAAAGGTAATGATATCATGCATCTATATAAAAAAAGAATTATATTGATATGTTTATTTTTAAAAAAGTTATGGCACTTTTAAGTAAAAAAAATTTCGAAAATTAGCGATTTTTAAATTTGTAATTTTTTTGGAGTTTCCCCCGTTTACGGTGAATGAGGGAAATTTTTTCAATTTTTGAGGGTAATGTCTTCGACTAGATACGATTTGTGATCTTTTGACGTATCATTGAAAGAAATCGGTTCTGTGAGATCTGAGAAAAAGTGGTAACAGACACAAAAAAAAAACAAATCATTTTAAAACCTATTCGCATTGAAGCTAAAAAGTTTTTTAATACGCTTTTATTAGTTTCACATGTATGTTGTATGTTGTATGTTGTTTGTATGTAACTTTCCAAACGCCACGCGTTATCGCATATTCCGTTGTCTAGACTAGACTGTTATACGCATTCACCCCTCCCCACGCCTCGCTCACAATACGACGGTACACTATTCCTATAAAAATTTATTTTTAGTTATCGTACCCGTACACGCGTGCTTGTCATCAATATTATATATATGTAAACAAATTTTTATTTTGACTGACCAATAACGCCCGCGTCTAATGCGCCTTACGTATATATATATATATTCCTACCGCCGTTTATACCTCGGGTATAACGTTAGTCCGACCCGCCCGGCCATAAAACACAGCTATACTTAGTGCATGATACTTTTACGTAGTTAAGTCGCATTATTTGTATAAATATATATATTCTAATTACTATTAAAATTAATATATTAACACGATTTATTCTAATTAAGAGATATAAAGTATTCATTCCGATTACGAGGGATGATTTCCGTATCGTCATTTTTCGTCACTACCTCCACGTTCCGGGAGTGAGTAATTTACGCGCCTGCTGCTTTCCTTGGATGTGGTAGCCGTTTCTCAGACTCCCTCCCCAGAATCGAACCCTGATTTCCCGTTACCCGTAACAACCATGATATTGATAGTAACTACTATCATAACATGAAACTAAAAAGTAAAAAATAAATATAGTTTAAAAAACTAAAAAAACACGCTTTTAAAGTACATCGAACTAAAAAGTTAAAAATAATTTTTAAAATAATTATGAACAAAAAATACTAGTATTATTGTGATAAAAGCGTGGGTGCTTTGTGCCATATTTTTCGTATATTGAGCGCCCGACGCTTTTATCACAATAATACTAGTATTTTTTGTTCATAATTATTTTAAAAATTATTTTTAACTTTTTAGTTCGATGTACTTTAAAAGCGTGTTTTTTTAGTTTTTTAAACTATATTTATTTAAACTATATTTTTTGGTTATAAAAATACACAATGATTCAGTGGCGTAGCTAAGGGAGGGTCTAATGGTGCTATAGCGCCCCCCCTATTGGCCATATTTTTCTTATTCTTTTGAAATATTTAAATTTAAATATGAAAATTGTGTTACAAATATATAAATTTACACATATACACATATATCGTCTTCTACACTTTATAAAATTTAGCCCCCCCTTGCGAAAATCCTGTCTATGCCTCTGCAATGATTAATAAAAATTATAATTTTAGAATAAATGATAGACATAATAATACTCAATACTCTCAGAATTGGGGAAAATTCTAAAAATAGCTTAAATGCAATGCACTTACTTTGGTTGTGTATGATGTAGTGTGATATGGTTTTCATACAATCGTCAATCGAATACGAAATAATGTGTTCATAACAAAATGTGGCATCAGTTGATAAATATTTCTTGTGTTATGTTTTAATTATATAGTGTTTTATGTTTATAATAATAATTTATACATCGTGAATCTAAAATTTTTTGTTATGTCGATAAGTAAAATAAGTGGTTCCAGTGATAATCAACCACTTGAAATTTTTTGAAAGCACATGTTGCTTTTGGAATAATCTACCTACTTTTTAAAATTAAACACTATCTACAGATTTGCATTGAAGCGTTTCTTATGATAATGATTTTAATCAGTCAGATTTTATCTATACTGGACTCAACTATGTCACGTCCTCACTGTACCATGACACTACTGTGCTAGGTTTTTTTTTTATTAACTTCGATGTCTGTTTTCACCATGAAAACAAAATGAAGTCCAAAACTTTTTTTCCATTATAAAGTATGTTACATAAGCTTTAAATTAAGATATATATAAAAGTGTCAGTATTTCCGAAACATTTTCAAAAGTTAATATTTTGTGAAAAAATTGCCATTTTGAAAGCCCTCCTGTGGACAGGTAAAGGGTCAAATGTTCACAAAAATATATGAAATGATAAATAAATGCCTAAGGGATCTATAAAAAAAGAAATTATATTGATTTGTATATTTTTTAAAAAGTTATGGCAGTTTTAAGAAAAAAAAATGTTGAAAATTACCGTTTTTTAAATTTAAATAATTACAAATTTGTAATTTTTTTGGAGATTTCTCCTATTTACGGGGAATGACGGAAAAATTTTCAATTTTTGAGAGTAATTTTTTCGACTTATCGTTGAAAGAAATCGGTCCAATGAGAGCTGAGAAAAAGTGGCCACAGAAACAAAAAAAAACACATCATGGTAAAATTAATAATTTCTTAGCTTCGCATCGAAGCTAAAACGGTAGCACAGTGGTGTCGCGGCACAGTATGGACGTGGATAAGTTGGAACAAGTATAGACGATATCTGACAGTGATTAAAATCACTATCATAAGAAACGCTTCGATGCAAATCTGTAGATAGTGTTTAATTTTAAATAAGGAACTTTCATCTGAAGCAAATATATACTTTTCTTTTTCAACTTTTCACGTTGTTTTCAAATCTGCAATTAGACTTTTTCTATTACTTCTAATTTTTGATATTATTACTTATTATAAAAAAAAAAGTATTTACTTATATAATAAATGATTAAGAACAATAAAAAATTGTTTTAAATTAATACTGATTTTGATTATTAATATGTTACATATAAGGAAAATGACATATTTAACCTATTTTTTAATCCTTTAAAGTTGATATTTGTGAAAGCTTATAATTAAAAAAAATTAATTTATTACCATTAGTAAAAATTGAATATTTACATATAAAAAAATAATTAAAAGAAAAGCACATTAGTGAAATGAATACCTTCTCAGCTTCGCATCGAAGCAAAAAAAAATTGTATTAATCCAAACATTTTTCACAAATTTATAGCAATATAAATTTGATAATTTTAACAAAAAAATAGTATCTTTTTGACTACTGTAGCTGTTTATAGTACTAAGACAAGTTTCGAGGACAAAGTTTTTAAGTAGGAATTTACTTAAAATGTAAAAATGACTTATTTATCATAAACCGCTCAATTACTCAAAAATTTTTAGTTACATATACTTGATTTATTAGCTACATCGTCCTTCATAAGTTAAAAGGGTTTAAAATATATATATTTTGTGGTAATATACATATTCAACTAGGTTATAAAATATAGAATTATCAAATTAAAAAAATGACTGGTCGATAACAACTTTAAGATCAGTACTTCAAAAATTATAACAATTTTAAAATATAGTCTGGAGTGAGTCACGGGCATAAATATTTATAATATTAGACATTTCTCAGCCGTACTAAGGGTGTCCTTGTGGGAGGCGATTGGAGCAATCGACCTTCTATAATGTTTTCAAATATAAATATAATGTGTATATCTATAATAAGTACACACATCATTATATTATACATGATATGCAAATAATAATAAATCTTATAACTTAAAAATGTTTTTATATGTTGGGGTGTACGGAAATTTTTCATTCGAAAACCGTTTTTTTATTCTAACCAGTAAATAATAATCTCTACAAAATTTGAGACAAATCCGGTAACTTTATCTTAATAAATTTTATAACTTTAGTCGCTAAATAATGTATAAATATATCGTATTTTTGGTAAAATATAGTAAATATTGGTTTATAAAATATAATTAATAATACAATTTCATCATTGCTTATGAAATTTTTTTATTAAGGTAATTATTTTCTAAAGCTGCTGGAATATTAATACTGAACTTAAATATTTATACTTAAGCCAAGTCTTGTTCAATTATCTGTAATTTTATGTGTACGGTTTCTAATAGATCCGTTTCCAAACGGATCTATTTTATCTTAATTAAAAGATAAAATAGTTACCTGATTTATACAAATTATAGAATATTGATTAAGTCTTGAACTATAATAATAATCGTGTCTAAAGTTTAGGATTAAAATTAAATTATTAGCATCATATTGTATTATATTTTATTCGGTTGACATACGTTATATAATTTTTACTTAATAGATATTTATGGTTTTTTTTATATTTATAATAATTTTTTCGAATTTCATCAATAGTTTTTAAATAAAACATTATAAAATCAACTAATTTTTTTGAATTGGTGCGATTAAACCATCTATAACTATATTTAAATTACTATAAATTGACGACAATGGAACAATGATAGAACCAAACCTTTTTTTTTTAATCTTTAAACATTTTTTTAATATACAGAGTATTTAGTAAGTAAGGAAATAAGTCAATTACTACAAACAACGAGATCAATAGAAAATCGTTTCCTTACTTACTGAACACTTTATATACTACAGAAAAGTATGTACTAACATATAAATTTCTTGTTAAATAATATAACTAATTTTCAAAAATTTTTATGAATATAACATATAGTAATAATGTTTTAATTTAGATAAAACTTTTATTCAATTTTTTTTTAAAAAACTATATTAGAAGTATCATGTATATTCTGGGGGGTATGTTTTGCTTGTCTCCCGAAACAAATTTTTGGTAATTAATTCAAAGATGTTAAATGAGTTCATACAAAAAAATTAATATTTTGTGAAATTTGAAACTTTGTGACTATTTTTATCATTGAGATTTAAATTATGATTTAAGAAAAAATTTTAAATCATATTTTGAAAAATATGTAATATTTTTTTTATTCTAAAACCTTTATATTTATAATATTTAATAAATTATTGAAAATAGTAAGAAATTTTCTAAAAAAAAATAGTCAAAGTCAAACTTTTACCACAAGTTGCCTTATTTTAACGTTATCGGAATTAGCAGGTATCATTTTTTTACTGATTAAAATATAAAAACCGAACTTTGAAAGAATTTGAAAATTTGTCTAATTTCTGGTATTCTAATATATGCAAATATTTTTGTCACATTTGTTTATATGCACATTAACAGATGTAGACATTGCTAAACTAATTTTTTTTTTTAAATAAAATTCTATACAAATTTTTTGTTTAATTTAGTTATAAAATTTATCTTTATGCTATTTGTTTATTGTTATGTAATACGTTTATAAATAAAAAAACTCAGCACAGGAGGGTCGCGGCACAGTGGTGACGTGGCATAGTTGGATCAAGTATAATGATATCTGACAGTGATTAAAATCACTATCAAAAAAAACGCTTCGATGCAAATCTGTAGATAGTGTTTAATTTTAAAAAATTGGTGGATTATTACAAAAGCTACATGATCTGCTAGTTCCTTATTAATATCCTGATTAAAATAAAGTATGTCAAATGAAAGAGGACTATAAATATTATTTCTTATTAAAAAAATTGTATTGATCCATACACTTGTCAATAAGTTATAGCATTATAAAGTTAAAAATATAAAAAATAAAATCGAGAATTTTCACACAATAATAGCATTTGGTAGCCGTTTTCACCGTGAAGACAAAATAAAGTCCGAAATTTTTTTTTTACATAATAAAGTAGATTACATTAGCTTTAATTTAAGATATATATAAAAGTGTCAGACTTTCCGGAACACTTTCAAAATTTAAGTTGAAAAAGTCAATTTTTTGTGAAAAAGTTGTCATTTTGAATCCCCCCCCCTGTAGGCAGGTAAAAAGTCAGATTTATAAAAAAAATATACCAAATGATAGGTAATGACATCATGCATCTATAAAAAAAAGAATTATATTGATATGTTTATTTTTAAAAAGTTACGGCAGTTTTTAGTAAAAAAAATTTAAAAAATTGAAAAAATTAGCCATTTTTAAATTTGTAATTTTTTCGGAGGTTTACCCCATTTACGGGGAACGAGGGAAATTTTTTCAAATTTTTAAGGGTAATGTCTTTGACTAGATACGATTTGTGATCTTTTGACGTATCATTAAAAGAAATCGGTTCGGTGAGAGCTGAGAAAAAGTGGTAACAGACACAAAAAAAAAACACATCTTAGTAAAACCAATACCTTCTCAGCTTCACATCGAAGCTAAAAAATGTTTCTTAATAAAAAGTATTTTTTCATTATACTTGTATGTTTATTATATTTTATTACTAGTTATATTATGTGTATCAATACAATTTATTTCTAATCTCACACATGTGGAGAACATCAATTAATAGATAAAAATAAGGTTGGGCATATTATTTCGAGCGTAGCTAGAAAATTTCTTTTAGTCTTTGGAAATGGAGCACTCCATTAAGTTTAAAACACTATTTTTCTCTAATGTACTCAAAGTAATTAATGGAAATATTTTATTTTCACCCCCTGTCGCCTAAAGTTCATAAGAAATATCCCCTCTCAGGGTTGGTAAAGCACGTTTAAAAAAAAACCGTTTAAAATTTCCAAAAGAAATAATGTACATTTTTTAATTTTTGGTGTTTTAAACACGCAGTGTTATTTGCACCTGTTTACATATTGTAGCATTATTTGCAAATTTTTTATTTTAGTATGGAAATAAAAAACTTTATTAAGGTCATCATTGAAATAAATTTTCTACAACTATTCTTATTTTTAATAAAAAGATAGATATAAAAAAATAGATTCATAACTTTTTGAAAATGAAAATAGCAATAATACTAAATATTCAAGTGTATTTATGTATGTTTTTCGCTTTTTTACATACTGAAGGAACACATAATAATAAACAAAATGCGATTATCATAAATAATTTTCTACGTCATCCAGGATGGAATAATATAAATGATGTCGAATTAATTAAGTATGGGAACAATAAGCATGAACTGAAAGATTTAATTTTTAATACTGTTGTAACATCATTTAATTGTGATAAATGCACACGGCAAGCAATGATATTCCTTGGATGTTCTTATGCTAATGATCTAGATATAATGAACTTTTCATTAACTAAATTTCAAAAACATTGTTTTGAACTATTAGATTCTGGTGATGGTAGTGCGAACGATTGTACAGTCACACTTTTAATGAAAATGATTGAAATTGTTCCGATGGCAAAATATATGAAAGGAGCTTTAGGTGCAATAGAAAAATATCATACTGTTTCCCGGAAAATCGTAAAAAAAAGACGTTTTCTTTTAAACAGGTTACTAACAAATATACAGGAAGAAGAAACTTTATTGACGACGTTGAGAACCAGATCGTATACAATTAAGGATGTATTAACGACTATCGCGGAAATATTATTGTCAAGGCATAATGAACTTAATAAAGATAAGTCATTTTGTCAACTAAAACACTTGGATTTTGATTCATTGTGGAATTTATGGATTATAGAATTCAATACATTCAAACAACAAGGAAAATTTCAAGAACTATTTATTTTTCTTAGTGATAAAATTAGAAATTTTATCCAAACAACAATCGCGAAAAAATTTATTGAACTTGGATTTATATTTGATTGGAATACAAGTCAGACATTTTTACCTGTTCAACCATTTACCAGTGACAATCATTGTATAACTATTTAAGCAATATTACATTTATTTGAAATAATTTGTTGTTAACATATTTAGATATCGTACAAAATCGTTTTATAAATTTTACACAAAATACTAATTTTTTAGATACGCAAGAAGCAATTCAAGAAAATGGTAAATTTTCCCTAATACTTGACAGTACCGCTATTTTTTAATCTAAAAAAGTTTTAAATTGACCTAACAACCATTTTAATACGTTTAGATATTACAACTTCGATACTACATACTAATGATGTAGAAACACAGGAAGACATTAGACAAGAAAGTAATGATTTTATAATACACTAAAATACTTTTCATATATTTTATCACTTGTGGCTAATTAATTGAATAAAATTAATAGGCCCTCGATAGAATTCGAGAAGTTGTCGAATTTCTGACATTTTAATATATTTTATACTCCTTAATATACGTATATTAGGGTGGATCAAAAAAACTTGATCATTGAAATTTTAATGAGAACAATTTTAACTTTATTATATACATTATAATAAGTATTTTGTGAAAATTTGAAATTTTTAAAAAAAATTTTACTAGTCACTCAACGTGCTTTTCATATTTTTATCAAAAATAATTGGAAAAACGGCTTCTGTTTTACAATTTTTATGCAAATATTATGATTAGTGTAACAGAGTAGTTTTTTTGCTTCAAAATATTTAGTCGAAAATTGATAGTGTGGATATTTAACGTCATTATATTTTATATTTCTAGTAGGTCTAGTAAGCTAAAAATTAAAAAAAATATATTTTTATACAGTTTGGCTGATATTTATGTATATTATAAAAAGAAAAAAAAATTTTTCACTAATCCTAAAAACTTATACCATATTTTAAAAATAAAGCATTAGCTAATATATATGATATTCTTGTAAATATTATTAAATGACGGTTGATCATTAAATACCTTTTAATTTTTATTTTATTATTAAACAGTTCATTTATACTAACTAGAATAGTTTTGGTTTTAGTTGGTCTGTTTGGTCCATTGTGAGCACCTCATACCGAATTGTCTTGATTCGGTTTAACCATCGAAGTGTTATCACCAAAGTGTTTACTAACTAGAATAAATAACATAAACATATAAATAAAAGCATAAATTTAATTAAAAAAAATATAGTTTAAAAAACACGCTTTTAAAGTACATCGAACTAAAAAGATAAAAATAATTTTTAAAATAAGCTTAAAACAATTACGAACGAAAAATACTAGTATTATTGTGATAAAAGCTTGGGTGCTTTGTGCCATATTTTTCGTATATTGAGCGCCTTACNATACGAAAAATATGGCACAAAGCACCCAAGCTTTTATCACAATAATACTAGTATTTTTCGTTCGTAATTGTTTTAAGCTTATTTTAAAAATTATTTTTATCTTTTTAGTTCGATGTACTTTAAAAGCGTGTTTTTTTAAACTATATTTATTTTTTACTTTTTAGTTTCATGTTATGATAGTAGTTACTATCAATATCATGGTTGTAATGGGTAACGGGAAATCAGGGTTCGATTCCGGGGAGGGAGTCTGAGAAACGGCTACCAAATCTAAGGAAAGCAGCACACGTTCAGGTTAGCGTAACTATTGAGCTTTGGCCCCATACTGAAATATTTATTTGGAAAAAACTCGCGTAATTATGCATCATTACTTTGTTTCCCAAAAATAACTGCTTATTAGTTAGGACATCAAAAATGTGGGTAAATAGGTGCATGACCAAAATGTCAATAGAATTTATTAAACTTCTAAAATCCTTGGTGCTTTAAATAAACACAAAAATGTTTAAATACAAAACTCAAAACGCAGTTATATAGAACTTAAATTTTTTTTATTCGAGTTGTTCTTATTTGTACAATAGAATTGTAGTAAAAACAAATACTCATTAATATGAATTATTTAAAAATTAATTCGATTTCATAGATTAATTTATTCGTATGTTAATATATCGAAGAAATTAAAAAAAAAATTATAAAGCTATATATACAGGGTGATTTTTTTATCATAACCCACTCAATTACTTACAGAATAATAATAATTAAAAATTTTTTTTTTATTATTATCTTTAGTTACACATTATTCTTGAATTATTAACTATGTAATACTTTTTAAGTTCATCCCTTATGCCTGGTAAGGGTGTCAACTTTGTTTTTTTAAATGGTAACACATTTTGAATTTAATAAAATGTTTTAGTTTTTAATTTAATAACAAATGTCATTTGAATTTTTAATATAACTTTATTCGTTTATTAGATATAAACATTTAAAGTTTCAATTTTTTGAGTTAATATATAGGTATAATACACAAGGGATTACAAATACAGGTAGCTAATTGATTTTTTATGATATTGCTATCACAGTCACGGATTGTTTATTATCAATTATGACTATCAATAGATATACATTCTGTATTGTCAGTTAGTGTATTTATAAACTCACAACAATGTGTCTTACTACCATTGATAATAACAATGCTTTGTACCTGCTAATATCGATGTCATAAAAAACCAATTAGCTACCTGTAATTTTAATCCCTAGTGTATTATACCTATATATTAACTCAAAAAATTGAAACTTTAAATGTTTATATCTAATAAACGAATAAAGTTATATTAAAAATTCAAATGACATTTGTTATTAAATTAAAAACTCAAACATTTTATTAAATTCAAAATATGTGTTACCATTTAAAAAAACAAAGTTGACACCCTTACCAGGCATAAGGGATGAAATTAAAAAGTATTACATAGTTAATAATTCAAGAATGATGTGTAACTAAAGATAATTGAAAAAAAAATGTGTTAATTTATTATTAATCTGTAAGTAATTGAGTGGGTTATGATAAAAAAATCACCCTGTATATATATATTTTATACGAATTGGACAAAATTTAAATAATCTTCGTATAATATCGCGGCACTTTCGTAGGCGGTTTCCGGCTGGCGTCGAAAAGTTGGCAGCGTTAATGGCGACGGTACGCGGATGCGGATCGGTTCGGTCGTGCGGCACGTCAGGAGCCGGTGGCGTACATCATCGACGTTGCCACTTTAACAACGGGAAGAAGACTCAACGTATCATTTGCGGCGGGTCATCGTCGGCCGTGCGGCACTTGCTGGACTTTACACCGTGGCGTATGGTCACTTATACTGATAGTAGGGCGACGGCTGATAAAGGTAGCGCGATAAAGGCCGTGTCTCAATAAAAATTTATTTACACATATATATAATTAATGACACGCGCGCGTCTAAGGGTTGGAAAATATTATTTTCGACGACTGGTGAGAGGGATGGGCTGAATGCGTTACGACCGTCTAGTCTCGTGCGCGTGCGCGTGGAAAGTTACAAACTACAAACAACAAACACACAACATACACGTGAAACTAATATAAGCGTGTTAATAAGTGTGTTAGAAACAGTTAACTTATGTGAAGTCAAAGGTTTACTTTATTTTAAACGTTTTGTAGTCACAACATATTTTGTTCATTTCATGAGTATATATCGTCTTTCATTATTTATTTAAATCGATTATAATTTTTCCCATTAATACTGTATTAGACTAAACTACTAAAATTAAAATATTTTTTTACTTTTGAAGTCTGGAAAATAAAACAATCACAATGTTGAAATGAATATTTTAACATCAGATGTGATATAGTGTATTAAAAGCAGGACGATAATCTTGTGGTATTTTTTTTCTCAATGCATTGTCTTTTAATATATAGTAGTTTTATAATATTAGTGGATTTAGTTAATAATGATATTAAATATATATATATATATATATATATAT